AGCCAAATACTCTGTCTACTGAGCCAAACCGGCTAGGGGGACAACTTACTCTTTTAAGTTTGCCTATAGGTATGCAGACAGAGATCAATAGTTGGAGTTGGACTTGAGCTTTAGTGGAGAGTTTTAAAGATAAGAAGATTGAACATATTTAATATTTAACTCCAGTAGGAGACAATGAATAGGAATTGAAAGATTGAAGGAAGATCGGTCTTGGTGTAGTTACTACTAAGCAGGTACAGAAAATAAATTTGATTATTCTCTCAGTTGAACCATTTTAGGGAGCAGGAGTCTGCTTAATGCCTAACAAACACTCAGAAGCTTAATTTACAAATGAAACTACCAGTTTTATGACTTTTCTGGGAATTAGAAAATGTCATCTATTTTGTCTACATGTTCTTTTTTTTCTTAGAAAAACCATATACATGAGAATCATAATTATAACCCGAAGGCCACTTTGTGAGCATGGAATCTGCAAGGGGAGTTAGAGTTAGTTGGATGTTTCTAATGGCAAATGAAATCAACCTATGCTAGTACATGCATCCAGCTTCACTCTAGGGCAGTAGCGCCCTCCTGGACCAATTAGTAGTGTCCCTAGTTAGGCCTGCTCTCTTTTGGACAATATTCATGATTGCTGCCACTTTTTATTTCTCTGACTCTCCTTTTCCTCTAAGAATGCCCTTTCTATGGCTTATTCTTTCTATATTAACCCCACCCATTAGATTTTAGACAAATCTTCCTGCTTTTTTTTCTAGAGACATTCTTTTCCTTTTAATGGCTTCTGCAACCATTTGATTTATTCTCAGTTAAGTGTTTATTGTATTAATATAGCTCTGATTTCTGGTAATGCTTTATAGTATCACCTATATTATTTCTATAAGTCAGTCATAAAAATTACATAAATATTTGAGAATTGAGTTATTTTATGGCTTTATAACATACTGTATGTAGTTGGCATACTGATAAAAAGAATAGCAATCAATTTTCAAATATTTTTATACTAAAAATAGATAATTTGGTAAGTCCAACATTTTGTAAATAAAATAATTAAAATCCTCCCATGATCTACTTTTAACATTTTTGTGTATACGTATATTGGATACCACGAGTTTGTTTCTATCTTCAATATGAGAAATATCCCTATGATCCAAGTTTTGTGCATAACTCAGATTGTTGCCTTAAGATAAGTTTCTAAAAACGGAATTAGTCAAAAGGGGAATGGTATATAGTTATAGTCTCATTAGCAATGTATGAGCATGCCTATTTTACTTCATTGTCATTTACTAGTGAGAATGTATTATTTTTTCTACACAGGATGTACCCCCAAAATGTATACTCACTTTGAATGATTATAAAGCTAGTGTTTATTAACATACAGTTCATTTTCAAAATGTAAAGGAATTCACAAAAATGAATTTTTTTTTTTTTTTATTAATGCCTGTTTTCAAGCTGATGATTGCTCTGGTCCAGGCACTGCTGATAACTCGAAGCAATGGAATCACAAACATCTAGAATCATTTATTTCAGTATTTGTGTGCCCTCAATTTGGCCACTGTTGCCGGTTTTATGCCGTAAACTTTATCTTTTATGTATCACCATAAAAAAAAAGTCTAGTGGCACGTTACGATAAATTTTCTTTGTTCAAAGACTAGTCTGGCTTCATCCCTTTTTTCAAATCAGTTGAACTTGAAAAGTAATGAAAATTAAAAAGGAATGAAAATTAAGTCAGTTATCAGCTGTTAAAGTGTGTATACATATTTTGGGGATGGCCTATATTTGTAAATTTAATAGGAGAAATATGTATTTTGATTTGTATATTTAAATATTACAAATATGATTGACTACTTTTCAGACTACTTTTCACTATCCTTTTTTTTTTTTGCCCTACTTTATGTGTTTGTGTGTAGAAATTACCTTTCATTAGTATTTTTTGTCAGGGTGGGAATGGAAAAAAGGAAAGATGTGAATAAATGTTAAGTTTTTCTCAAGGAGGAATGAAAATATTAAGTTCTTCCAAGGACATTTATCAGTTTTTTTAAAAAGTAAACCTTTTTATCTTTTTCGAGGATACATTTATTCATTGTTTATTCCTTAGAATGACTATATGAAAGGAGAAGGTTTTCCTGAAGATGAGGCGACTGAATCGAAAAAAAACCTTAAGTTTGGTGAAAGAGTTGGATGCCTTTCCAAAGGTTCCTGAGAGCTATGTAGAGACTTCAGCTAGTGGGGGGACAGGTGAGTATCAATTCAAATTAAAACTCCTACACTAAATGCAATTTCTGAGTGATCCAATTAACATACAGAAATAGAGTCATGAGGAAGAACTCATCAACATATAATAACTTTGTAACTGGTCTGTCCTTATGTGATACTGTTTTGCAATAATTTTATTATACATATTAGAGGCCCGGTGCATGAAATTCGAGCACGGGGGGTGGAGGATGGGTCCCTCAGCCCGGCCTGCACCCTCTCGCAGTCCGGGTCCCCTCAGGGGATGTCCGAATGCCAGTTTAGGCCCGATCCTGTAGGGATCCCTAAATCGGCAGTCGGACATCCCTCTCGCAATCCAGGACCACTGGCTCCTAACTGCTGGCCGGCCTGCCTGATCGCCCCTAACCACTCTGCATGCCTGCCTGATAGCCCCTAACCACTGACCTGCCTTCCTGATCACCCATAACCACTCTGCCTGCCTGATTGCCCCTAACCACTCCCCTGCCTGCCTGATCACCCCTAATCACTCTGCCTGCCTGCCTGTTAACCCGTAACCACTGGCCTGCCTGCCTGATCACCCCTAACCACTCTGCCTGCCTGCCTGATCGCCCCTAACCACTCTGCATCCACCCCGCCACCGCGGCTTCATCCTGAAGGACGTCCGGAAGGTCGTTTAGTTGTCCTGTCTAATTAGCATATTACGCTTTTATTATTATAGATATTCTCTTTGGCAACTAACTCAGTGTAGTCTGAGCATTTAGCAGTATTCATTAAAACATTATGGAATAAGTTAATCCAATTTTACTGCTTTATTACTGGTGAGTTATGTATAATAATATTAATAGGATGATTATATACAAATATAATTTAACTTCAAAGAACTTATTTAATGATGTGAAACTGCCTCAGTGCCTTTTTGGTTAAGAATAAATCAATTTATATGTGATAATAAAAATTCTTAAATTTCACTTTACTGGAGAGAGGCAGCATAGGGTAATAGTTAAGAGCTTAGATTTTAGAAGCAGATTGTGTAGATTTAAATCCCACTTCTTCCCTTTCTTAACTAAATGACTTTGAGGAAGTTAATCAAATGCCTCTGCTTTAGTTTCTTCATCCATGAAATGGGGATGATATCAGTATTTACGTAGTAGGGTTGCTGTAATGATTAAATAAGTTAATATTTATAAAATGCTTAGAATAGTACCTGGTACAGATAGAAGTATTTGTTAAGTAAAATAAATAAATAATGGAATATTTAAGAAAAATATGGAACTATAACAATATTTACTATTATTTCTTTTCCTCTGAAGAGCTAATAAGATAATATGTTTCACATAAGACTGACATTTCATTTGGTAAATGTGTACTAAGTTGCTTGCTATTTCTAATCTCTTGTGATTAACTTTTGTTAACAAAAAATAGTGCAAGTTCTTGTGGCACAATAAATTTTAAGTATGTTTTGTCATAGTATATGATAGTTCTTTCCTTTTTCTCACCTTTGAGTTGCTTTTATAAATGAAGTGATTTGTTTAGGAGATTCCAAAGTACATGAGAGTGTTATGAGAGATTTGAGATATATGTTATTTTTTTTAATTGGGCTGCAGGCATGGATCCATTTTTAATTATGAGGGGATTATTTTCAAATTTGTATTCTAAAATATTTGTTTATTATGTCTATGACTAGAGGCCTGGTGCACAAATTCGTGCACCGGTGGGGTCCCTTGGCCTGGCCTGTGGGGATCAGGCCAAAACCGGTTCTCTGACATCCTCTGAGGGGTCCCAGAATGCGAGAGGGCACAGGCCAGGCCGAGGGACCCCACCGGTGCATGATGGGGCCCGGGGAGGTACCGTGGGAGGGCTCCAGGGCGTGTCTGGCCCATTTCGCCCAGTCCTGATCGGCCAGACCCCAGCAGCCAGCTAACCTACCAGTCGGAGCATCTGCCCCCTGGGTGTCAGTGTGCGTCATAGCGACTGGTCAAATGGTCGAATGAATGGTCGGACACTTAGCTTATTTGGCTTTTATTAATTAGGATGACACAAGAAAGTAAAAGTTTGATGTCTTGTAATATTGAAGAAATAAAATGCTTTCTCAATAATACAAATATTTGAATTAATTTTTGTGTTAAATATTTTTTGAGCTGTTTTAGAAAAAAATCTATACTGGACATTGTAAGAAAAACTTTTTATTGTAATAATTCACATGACATGCATTAAGGCATTCTGTGATATATTTAATTTCACTTAAAATAAAATTGTTTATTATTTTGTAATAAAATTAAAATTTTTATTAAAACATTTATTAAAATTTTGTAATAAATTAAAACAAAATTGTTTTAATTCTCTTATTCTTTTTTTTGTTTGATTTCTCAGTTTCTCTAATAGCATTTACCACTATGGCTTTATTAACCATAATGGAATTTTCAGTATATCAGGATACATGGATGAAGTATGAATATGAAGTAGACAAGGATTTTTCTAGGTAACTTTTTTTTTTCTTGAAATACCTTTAGATTCAAATTGTTTTAAAGATAACATACCTTTTTAAAAAATGTCTAACTTTTATATTTGGCTTATTTTAGTTCTGAAGAAATAGTTCTGATAAATTCTCATAACTAATGCTTTAGAATCATTTTAGAATAATTTGAATACTGGTTAAATTGTAAAAGGGAGGTTCTCTGATTTAATATGCACTGTATAAAAAGATTAGGAGAATATAATATGTTTTTATTTTAATGTGTTGAACTGGTAGGAATTATTTAATATTTTTAAATTGTTTACTCTTTAGAATTTGAAATAGATACTGATCTGTGTAATTTGGGAAATATATTGTTTAAATATACGTTATTTATGCTTGTAACTTGATTTTTATAAATTACATCTAAATTAAACTTTAATGTAAATAATATCACTTAAAACTTTGAAAATATAGCACCTTAGTAAGGAGACAAAGTATACCTTATTTTATTTGTAGTATTTGGATTTTAATTGATTGAAGATAACAGATTTATATTATTAAGATTGTACTAGGTAGGAGAGACATTTACTTTCAATTTCAATCCCAGTTCTGTATTTACTAGCTATGGAAGTTACTAAATCTGTATATGCATGTGCTTCAGTTTCTTTTTCTATTAAATGGGGATAATAATTATAGTACCTTCCTCATGACACTAGTGAGAAGTAAATCAACATTTATAAATTGCTGTGTAACCTTGGGTAAGTCACACAATTGACTTTTTTTGGGCCTCAGTTTCTTTATCTATATCTTATGTATTATTCTTGATAACATAGGTTTTTAAGGGATTTGTTATTTTTCTTTGTTTGTTTTTAGCACCAATGAAGCACTTTATTTTTTCCAAATGGAGTCTTATATAGCTCACCACAGAAGTGTAGTGGGTATGCCCAGAAGCTTGTCTAATTGGTCCTCTCCTCTGGTTCCTACAGTATCTCTTGTGTCTAAACCCCAGGGTTATTGGAGCACAGCTTGAATCTAGACAACTTGAAGACTGTGAAGCTCTAAAAATGTATTGAAAAATCTTTTGAAGCCCTAAAAATTTCTATTGAAACCAGATGCAAATTATTAGAGTGAAGAAAGTTTTGATAGCCCAGGGAAAACTGATATTGATGGTACTCATTCTGTTATTCATGGTGCTTAATTGATTCTAATATTTAAAAATTAATTCAATTTGAATTCATCATTTGGAAATAAAGCATTAGTTGAACCTTTTAGGAAGACCATGCAAAACTTGAAGCATGAGAGGCTTTCTCTGGCAATTTGGTTGCATTTATCAAGTCACACAGACCTAGTTTTTGATATGCCATTTCAGTGGGTATGTAATTTTAAGCCAGGTATTTATACTGCCCTGAACACCATTGTCTTACCTACATAACTGTGAAGCTACCCAATTTACATGTCCATGATAAAGAATAAAGGAGATAATATTTATAAGGATTCAGGCATAATGCCTGATGTATAGTATTTATTGGATAAATAGAGGAGAAAGACTTGCAATTCCTAACTCTTGATTTTAAAAGTTTTAAAGGAATATTCTACATAAGGTTTATGTAAACAAAGTTTAAAACTTACTTTTCTGAGTTTCTTGGAGTAATTTAATTTAGTAAAATTAAATTGCAGGGTACTATATTAAAAACCTGTGAAATCAGAAAGTCTTTAGGAATAATTGCAAAATAGAAACTTTTAAAGCGACTTTGCTTTGGCCATAAAAAATAATACTATCCAGGTTCTAATCGACATTTTTGAAATCCAAGTTTTTCATAAAATTGATTTATATTTCTCATGTTTTGTTGATTACTTGGTAGGTACTAACGTTTCCTTTTTGTCTTTTAGCAAATTGAGAATCAATATAGATATTACTGTTGCCATGAAGTGTCAGTGTAAGTACACCTTGAACTTGATGAATCCTTATATAGTTGTGGTTTAAACAATTGCTTGTAAAAAGTGAAAACCACTCATTGTGTTTTAACTTTATTTTTCTTTTATGATATCTTAACATGCTGTTGCAGTGCTATTTAATAATGTATGTTGTTTTTCTCCCCAAATTATATTCTTTAAATTTTTTATCCAGAAAGAGAAGAGATTTAACTTTCACATTCATATAATTAAAAGAAATAGGAGGAAATTTTTGTGAATCCAAGTTTTAAAATATGTGTGTGTGTTTTTTTAATTAAGTTCAGAACAAGGAAGGGAGTGGGAGAGAGAGATCTATCTGAATCAGAGTTTTAGTTTAGGTACATCCTTTATTTATTTTTTGTGTGGACTACCAGTTTTTATACCAATGTTCCTCAAGAATATCCTGTTTCACTCTTTTTTTTTTTTTAAATATATTTTTATTGATTTTTTGCAGAGAGGAAGGGACAGGGATAGAGAGTTAGAAACATCGATGAGAGAGGAACATCAATCAGCTGCCTCCTGCACACCTCCTACTGGGGATGTGCCCACAACCAAGGTACATGCCCTTGACCAGAATTGAACCTGGGACCTTTCAGTACACAGGTCAATGCTCTATCCACTGAGCCAAACCGGTTAGGGCCTGTTTCACTCTTTTAACTTGCCACCCTTTACTTTTACTCTTGCATATGAAAATACAGATCCAAGTAGTTTAAGTTAATAGTGATTTCTTTTCTGTTTTCTTCATTGACTTTACTTGATTATACTGGTAGAAGTAAAAAGAAAAAAGTTAATATGTATTTTAGATAATGTTTGAATCAGTAGTGCTCTTAAAAAATGAGGATGCTTTTGCATGAAAGTTGACTTTTAAATTACCACTTGAAAAGCAGAGACAAGAATTCAGTAGTTCAGATAAAATTTTTTAAAGTGTTAAATAGTATTACCCAATTAAGGAAATTAATTTTAGGGAGATTTTATCTCAGAACAGCCTTAAATTTTTTTTCCTTTCCCATTTATTTTTCCTTACATTGTGGTTTTAAGAGAAAAACTTTGTATCCAAATTTTGAGCTAATGTTAATGCTGAATATATCATTTTACCTTATTTTAGGTATTTGAATACCATTAGAATTTTAGCCTTTTCAAGATAAACTTTCTATTGATATTTAAAAAGTTATCAGTAGCTTTGCCTTAAGATTTCTTTTAATTGTTAAAAATAATCCTTGTAATTAATAGTTTGTATAGCAGCCATTTAGTACTTGTAATTAGGTTGCCAATTTTTGCAAAGCTCTTCAATAAAGTTTATATGTTTATATATATATATATGTACACCTATATATATATATAAAAATATTAATTATTGATTTTTCACCAGAGAGGAAGGGAGAGGGACAGAGAGTTAGAAACATCAATGAGAGAGAAACATCGATCAGCTGCTTCCTGCACACCTCCTACTGGGGGTGTGCCCGCAACCAAGGTACATGCCCTTGACCGGAATCGAACCTGGGACCTTTCAGTCTGCAGGCCGACGCTCTATCCACTGAGCCAAACCGGTTAGGGCAAATTTATATGTTTTACCATGAGATGCTGAGTAATTTTTTTTTTTTTTTACTGTGTAAAAAGTAGAAAAAGCATTATTTTTTTAATCTCTATCAAATCTATATAATGCTACTGTTTTAACTTTTAAATAAGCAGTATAGGAAAGTGAGTTTTCTGGTAGTCATCTTAATTTGTTTACTTTATATCAGATACAGTTTGACTCTTAGCATAGAATGTAAAACTTTTAATTTTTTTTAAATGCAGATATTGGAGCAGATGTATTGGATTTAGCAGAAACAATGGTTGCATCTGCAGATGGTCTAGTTTATGAACCAGTAAGTTTGATTCATATGTTTTTTAAAATAATATGCTTTTAGAAATTGCCAGTGAAAAATGGTTTTAATATTTTCTTTTGGTTTTGTTTCAGCTAGTTTTTAAAATACGTTTTCTTAATGCAAAAAGTAATCCATATTCTTTGTAAAAATTTAGGGAGGGAAAGTTTTATCTAATACTAAAATCTTGAGATAACCATTGTTAGCATTTTTAATAAGCCTTTAATGTCTGTTTTATAACTTTATTCTTATTTTATATTTTTGTTAATGCTCTCTGATAGTTTTCTTTTCTCTTTTCTTAGAGTTTGTATGCTTTTTTTTCCTTTTACTTTTGAAATCAAATATTTATCCTTTATATCCAAGTGTGTATCTCCTTTAGTTTTTGTTTGTTTTGCTTGGAGATCTTAATTTTTAAGTGTTTTTGCTTGTTTGCTTTAATGATATTCAGAGCAATGCTTTTACCTCTGTTTCAAATGATCATATGATGTTGAATTTTGTGGAGTGGTTCTCAGTATCTTTATTAATTCTCACAATAAATACATATTTTGAACTTTGCCTCTGAGTTCTGAGAGATAATCTTGATCCAAAAGGACCAATCTTCTTTTCAATGCCCTCATTATGTTTTAAAATTTAGTGATTATATTTTCTACCTTTAAGATTTTGCAGATCACTCCATTTTTTTCTGTCCCTACTCTAATTCACAAGGTAACTGGGGAGAAGTTGCATGGTGATTTTCAGATATTAGCATTATCCTTGTGTGCAATGATGTGAGAAGAGTTGGGAATCATGCTGCAGACCAGTTCAGCAGGAGGAGAAATCAGAATAAATTTATTGAAATCAGAAAGATGGGACAATTTAACTTGGCGTACATGATTTATAGAGTTTAGAAAGAAATAAGGGTCAAAATTACAGGAGAAGGATGTTCCAGGTTGGTATAATTAAATAACCAAAGGCACAGAGGCAAAACTGTTTGATAGAATGAGGGATTGTTCTACTTGTATTAAAAAGCAACTATTTGTAAAGAGAGAATAGTAGGTTAGGGCCTGATTATGGAGGGATAACTAATAATGTTAATAAATTAAAAACTAGAATTAATATGCTTTATTATCAATTACCCTTTTGAAAATCAAAAGTGGACTTTTTGTTGCAAATTAAATTGTAGATATTGTATCAAACCATGAGAAGCTTGCATTTTTTACTCTAATTATATAAGTAGCCAAGTCTGATTTTGAATTGATGAAGGTAATGCCTGAATAAAATTTCTTGAATTATTCTTTAATGATTAACACATTTAAGAATTAGAGTGCTCTTTTTTAGCTCATTTAAAAAAATGTTGATTTCATCATGGTATTATTCCAGCAAGAATATGGGCTTTGGAAGATTGAATATTACACTTAAGGTGTATGGTTTTTCCTTTTTAAATACTTAAAGTATTATGCTGGCATTATTTAAATGATTAATAACATTTCTTTACACTATTTTTAAATGAAAATTATTTAAATTTTTTAGGTTGACTTATAGAAGATTCAATATAAACATGAGTACTTTTTTACAACACTATAAATTTGTTTCCTGTCCTATGTGGTCATCACACCCTCACACGGTGATGCCCTCACACCCTCACACCGTAACAATCCATCACCAGGAGGCAATCCATCAAGGAGCCCCGGATGGGTGGGCGGGGCCTACCTCTTTGGGGAGATTGATAGCGGGGCTCCCGCGCTGTGAAAGGGCACAGGCCAGGCTGGGGAATCCCCTCCCCCCAAATGTACGAATTTCGTGCACCTGGCTTCTAGTCCTATCTAATAATAGACAAACATGGTAATTAACCATACCTCCAACACGCTTCCCATTGGCTAATCAGGGCGATATGCAAATTAACTGCCAACCAAGATGGCCCACAGCCAGGCAGCTGAAGTGAACAGGAGGCTTGCTTGCTCCAGTGATGGAGAAAGCCAAGGTTCCCCGCCTGCCGCTGCTGGCCTCTGAGCTGCACTCTAAGAAACAATGTTGCAATTATAGAAGCTAAACAAACCCCAGAAACCTGCTTTCAGCCAGCCGGGCCTCAGAGCTGGAGCTGCAACAGTGTTTCAATTATAGAAGCCAAACAAACCCAGATATCTGCTTTCAGCAGCCGAGGTCTCAGAGCTGGAGCCGAGCCTCAGAGCTAAAGCCGGCTCTCAGTTCCAGTGATAGCCATAGAAGGTAAATAAATCCCAGAATAAAAAAAAAAGAAAAAAAGGAGAGGTTGGGAGCTTCAGTCACCCGCCAGCCTGAAAACGGCCCTCAGCCCCTCATCCAGGCTGGCCAGGCACCCCAGTGGGGACCATAACCCTGAAGCGGGTGTGACCAGCTGCAAACAGCCATCATCCCCTCATCCAGGCTGGCCAGGCACCCAAGCGGGACCCCCACCCTGATCCGGGACACCATTTAGGGCAAACCAGCCGGCCCCCACCCATGCACCAGGCCTCTGTCCTATATAGTAAAAGGGTAATATGCAAACTGACCCTAACAGCAGAAAGACTGGGAATGACTGGTCACTATGACACACACTGACCACCAGGGGGGCAGACGCTCAATGCAGGAGCTGCCCTCTGGTGGTCAGGGCGCTCTCACATGGGGAGCTCTGCTCAACCACAAGCCAGGCTGATGGCTGCCAGTACAGCGGTGGTGGTGGGAGCCTCTCCCGCCTCCTCAGCAGCGCTAAGGATGTCCAACTGCAGCTTAGGTCTGCTCCCCGCTGACAAGTGGACATCCCCTGAGGGCTTCCGGGCTGCGAGAGGGATGTCTGATTGCCATCTTAGGCCCAATCCCCCGGGGAGCGGGCCTGAGCCAGCAGGTGGTCATCCCCTGAGGGGTCCCAGACTGCGAGAGGGCACAGGCCGGGCTGAGGGACCCCCCCCCTCCCAACCGAGTGCACAAATTTTTGTGCACCGGGCCTCTAGTTATTATATAAAAGCCAAGAGAAATTGACAATGTTGGTGATTATGTTTTTCTTTATTTTAGGTAATGTTTGATCTTTCTCCACAGCAAAAAGAGTGGCAGAGGTAATAAGTAAACAAAGTATTGTGGTCCAAAGAAATCTAGATCCCGTTTTGTCTATTTTGTTTGTTGTGACTTCATAGATTGGCCTATTTGTCCATTTCTCTGGATGAAATATTAGCAGAATATAGTATATAATGTAATCTTTACACTTTCAAAAATTTTACCAGATCTTAAGAAAGTCATGTTAATCCTATTTCTAATGTACTTTGGATCATAATATACTTTAGGTTTCATTAACTATTTAAAAATTTTTAAAAGCGATATTTGATCATTGTTTAACATTCACTTTGGACAGAAAGGATATAAAGTAAAAGTAAAAGCCTCCTCAGCATTCCATAAAATGTTCTATATGTTTGCATATTTATGTTATTCAAATGGGATCATTTCATGTCTGTTCAATAACTTGCTTTTTTTCATCAGTGGTGTTTTGTACAACTTCCTATTTAAGTACATATAGTAGTCTGTTTTATGAATAAACTATACCTAATCGTATCATTATTGATGGATAGGTTGCTTGCAAGATTCTAATATTGAAACAGTGCTCAGTGAAAATTAAATAAGGTAAAATAACTTTGAAGATACAAAGTTATTGCTGAAAATGGTAGGAGATAATATGGCCCAAAGGTAGAAATATTAGAGGAAAACTTTTATTTTTGGTTTTGTTGTTTGGAATAATTTCGTAAGTTAGTGTGAACATACAAATTTTGTTCAAAAAATCTCTAAGCAACCAATTTATTCTTGGTGGCTAGATACATTTAAAAAGAAAATCTGCTCATGGGTTCTCGAATGTAACTTTGTTTTTTATAATCCACTGCCTTATATGTTGATATTCTTTGTAAAAGTTACAGGGAGAATATAATACTTTCCTTTGAATGGTCTTGGAATAGAATAAAGTTCAGGTTTCTTCAGAAAAGGAGATACCAGGTGATATTAAATGGCACAGTGGCCTGGGTTGAGATGAGAAATTGATACTTGTGTTCTGGCTTTATACTCCCACTTTAAGTATATCAGATCTATTGTGTGGCCTCTTATTTGTCTAATTTCTTTTGTATTTATAACAATTTATTTAATGCCTGACAAAAAGTAAGAATTTTATAATTGCATGCATGCATGAATTTAGATTTCAGATGAGCAAAAGCTACTTATTGGTGACTAAGACTACATGTCCATTATTGATGAAATCAGACAGTTTTATTGTGGAGCCGTTATTAGACCTATAGCCACCCTACCTCACTCTTCCTGCTTTCAAGGAAAATGATCAAAGAAAACTTGGTACTTTATATTAGGATAAAGTCTTATAATAATAAATGTATGGCTTAGCTAAGTCATCTAATTATTATGATTATTTAAAAAGGGTTGGCTTCCTTTGTGTACCTTACTGTATTTATAAGCTATTGTTTGTGTTATATTTAGGATGCTGCAGCTGATTCAGAGTAGACTGCAAGAAGAACATTCACTTCAAGATGTGCTATTTAAAAGTGCTATTAAAAGTCCAATTCCCCTTCCATCAAGGTGAGTTGTATACTCTCCAGGTTCACCCTAGGATGTTACAAAAGGTCAGATTTCTTTTTTATTTTATTTTATTTTTTACCGCTGAGTAATTGGGTAGATGTAACACAGCTTTTTTATCCACTCATCTACTGATGGGCATTTGGGCTGCTTCCAAATCTTGGCTATTGTAAATAATGCTGCATTATGTAGGGGTGCATATATTCTTTTGAATTAATGTTTTGGGGGTTTTTCAGATATATTCCCAGAAGTGGAATTGCTAGGTCATAGGCAGTTTCATTTTTAATTTTTTGAGGTAACTCCTTTCTGCTTTCCACAGTACCTGCACCAATTTGCATTCCCACCAACAGTACACTAGGGTTTCCTTTTCTCTACATCCTCACCAACACTTGTTAGTTGATTTATTGATGATAGCCATTCTGACAGGTGTGAGGCGGTACCTCATTGTAGTTAATTTGCATCGCCCTGATGATTAGTGACATTGAGCATCCTTTCATATTTCTATTGGTCATCTGTATGTCTTTGCCCAGGTTCTTTGCCCATTTCTCAATTGGATTGTGTTTTTTTGTTGTTGAGTTTTATAAGTTCCTTATAAATTTTGGATATTAAACCCTTATCAGATGTATTGGTAAATATGTTCTTCCATTCAGTGGGTTGTCTTCATTTTGTTGATGCTTTTAATAGTTAAACTCACTCCCACTAAGGTGAGGTGTATATTTTAAATGTGCAACTATTTATTAATGTACTTACTTTGACATCATTTTAGTATTGATTTAGTTCTCTGGATCTCATATTTCTCAGAGAAAATGTAATCATTCTGTATGATTAAGGTGTCCTTTTACTCTTAAAGTTATAGTCTGTGATACTGATCAGGATTATCACAAATATAGTTGATCCTTGAACTACATTGGTTTGAACTGCTCAGGTCCACTTACATACAAATTTATTTCAATAACTTACCTGTACTGTTTTCCATCCGTGGTTGGGACTGCACAGGTGTGGAGGGCCAACAGTATGCTATGCCATTTTATACAGGGGATTTGAGCATTCCCTAATTTTGGTACCCTCGAGTCCTAGAACCAATGCCCTACAGATAACTAAGGGACAACTGTATTAAGTTTTGGTGGAATCAAAAGTTATATGTGAATTTCAGTACTGCTAACACTTGCGTTATTTAAGTGTTCACTGTATTTTAGTTTATTTAATTTTTCTCTTTTATGTGTGTATGGTATACCTCTATATAAAATTGTTATGTTTTAAGAACAAATTAATTGTATTTCCTATTATGAGGCTGTATGAATTTTGATTAGGAATTTTGTGTTTTTATTTTACTTTTTTTATAGATTAGAATAACTGATAGTTGAAAATGTTATAATCATGAAATGATCATTTAAATCTAAAACTATTGAAGAGGTTTTACATTTGCTTAGAAAGAAAATGTCATTGTCTATTTGAACTTAGATGGCATGCCTTTCCCTTACCTCATTTACAGTCCCTTCCTCCCCTGTCCTCTTAAGCAGGGGTCCTCAAACTACGGCCCGCGGGCCACATGCAAATACAAATACTGTATTTGTTCCCGTTTTGTTTTTTTACTTCAAAATAAGATATGTGCAGTGTGCATAGGAATTTGTTCATAGTTTTTTTTTAAACTATAGTCCGGCCCTCCAACGGTCTGAGGGACAGTGAACTGGCCTCCTGTTTAAAAAGTTTGAGGACTCCTGCTCTTAAGTAACAAAAACAGATGATGAAAGTATGTCTTTGTTGGGCTGATTCTTTACTTTTAATCTTTCTTCTATCATGGGACTTACTCCTTTGGTTAGATTTGAAGAACCATGGAATTTTAGATTTGTGTAAGTGTAATATGTAAATAATAATTATGTAATTTTTTTCTATTTCATAGCTATATGCTTTTATATAAATGTACAGACTTCAAAAAACTGCTTTTCCACCTTTGACATTTAGAACATTACCTGAAAATTGATCCTTACAGATCAGTATTGGTGATAATATTGTATGTGCTGTAAGTAATCCTAGCATGTCTTGTTATAATAGGGAAGATGATTTATCACAGCCTCCCGATGCTTGCAGAATTCATGGTCATCTATATGTCAATAAAGTAGCGGGGAATTTTCACATAACTGTGGGCAAGTATGTTCTTTTCACCTACTGAAAATACTTTAGACAGATTGTCAGTTTGTTAAAAATAAATTCTTTGCTAAAATAACAATATATGATTAACTACTAAAAGACAGCTTAAAATGTTTTGTATCTGTATTTGATGACTTGAGATTTGTCCGGGCTTTAATTTCAGGATAGAGAAGACTACTAACTTTAATATTACTTCAAAATAAAGTTAAACAGTCATGTCATATTTTATATGTTAAAGTAAATGAGCTGTAGGTACAATATGAATTAAAACCTACTTACCAAGTTTTAGTAGCCTGGAAGTTCTTATGTAGATATTTCATTAATTTGCTCATTTTGTTGGATGGTGTTGTTTTTCTGTTTGGTGATTATCACCAAAATGTAAATCCTAACTAATTTGAGACAGGTATTTTGATATAGTTAGAAATTAGTAGTGTCTGGGAAAAAGTTAAATTAGATAACAGTTAAGGAAAAATATTAGCTCATCAGCCTTCATAAGCAGCACCCTGCACAGAAACTGTTATGCAATGAATAGTTGGTAAATTTCTGAATGGACTCTCTGATCCTCTCTCCCTTCCTTCCTCTCTTCATCTTGAGTTGCAGAAATGAATAATTCTTCATTGTAAAAGACATTTTTTGAGTACTTGTTATATGCAAGGTAACATGCTAGATACCAAGAATGAAACAGTGAAAAAAGGGAGTTTTTATCTTTTTGGTACTGACTGTCTGAGAGAATCCAAGCTTTAAACAGTTAATTGAACTAATAACTATATAATTATAGTTGCATTGAACCTAAAAAGGAGAAGTATGATTGATAAGAAACTATATAACAAGGTACCTGACCTACTTTGCTTGTCAGCAGAGGCTTTATTGAGGATAACCATAACTGTTCAAACTAGTGGATGATTAGCAGTTTTATATATAAAGGAGAGAAAGGCATCTACGCTCAGGGAAAGGTTACAAAGCAGGAAAGAGAGTAGCTGAAGATTGTATATATATTTAGACAGCATGAGAATTTTATGCAAAATTATTTCAGTATTTATAGTGATCAGATCAAACATTTCTTTGTCTTTGTTGTCCAATTCTTTTTAACATTCTTTTTTTAAATATGTATTGATTTCATAGAGTAAGGGAGAAGAGAGATAGAAATATCTATGATGAAAGAGAATCATTGATTAGCTGCCTCCTGCACACCCCTTACTGGGGACCGAGGGCAACCCAGGCATGTGCCCTGACCTGCAATTGAACTGTGACCTCCTGGTTCACAGGTTGACACTCAACTACTGAGCCACACGGGCCAGGCTATTTTTTTGTTGTTTTATTACTGTTGTCACCACTCACTCTCTTCATTCCCAACCTATAGCTGGGAATCTTAGAATTTCTTGGTGTCATACAGGCAAATACTAGTTGGCTCAGAGAAATATAGAAGGTTTTATTATATTTTTGGAAACAAACAATATCCTACTTCAAACCTAACAAACAGTATCCTACTCTAGAGCTAACTGTGAAAGGGCAAAACTCTGTTAACAAATACTGTATGAGCATCCATAATTATATTCTTCGTTCCTAGTTTCACCTATCTCTTCATGTGAAAACTTATTCCAGCAATGAGAGGCCAAATTGAAAAGCATCTGGTTTGCATCTTATCCTTATCACCTCTGAAGTATCCTATAAACCACTCCTAATTTTTTGATAATAGGTTTGTCAAATTCAATATTGATTTTTTTTTGTAAGATCTCACATTACCTCTCAAGCACAGTATCATTTTCAACTGTATTATATAGGAGAACTATTTCAATATGCAGATTGTTGAGCATGATTACATTAGATAAGGCAGTGAAGTAGGCAGATGTTTGCCACTTATATGTCTCATTACAACAGCTGCAAATGCAGACAAACAGATGTGTTGGCCACTCAAATATCATGAATGGTATTTCTATTGTTGAACTGATACTCTGAAATAGTGAACAACTTTTGTAATACTATGAACAAAACAAAAATAACATTACATCTGTTTCCTGGGAAATTTAGTGTATATTGAAACTACAACAAAGTACTTTTTTTAGATAAATAGAGTTAAGTTCTAGACTCAGGTCATTATACATAGGTTTTCCACCTATGTAAATGCCTTTTAGAGTGTCATGCAAGATGTGGGACAGTTTTGCATGATGTGGGACAATTTTATTTTGTGTGAGACTGTCATTGCCTTGCAGGTTGCCTTGCTTCCTTGGCCTCTGACCACTAAATGCCAATAGAGCTTCTCCCCAATGACTGTGACAACTGAAAATGCCTCCCCCCAGTGCCCTCTGATTTTCAATAACCTTTCCTTCACGGAAATTTACGTGGAGTAATATATCATAGCACATGAAAAACATATAAAATTCAAATTTCAGTATCCAAAAATAAAGTTTTACTGTAAAATGTTAGCCATGCTCATTTGAAGTTGAAAGTTTATTTATGTACCTAACTATATAATATCTTCAATTTTGTATCTTGGCCCACAAAGCTTAAAATATTTACTATCTGAATCTTTACAGAAAAAGTTTGCCAACCCTCAGTTTATTAAATTGTTGAGATGAGTAGACTAACAAATCATAGGCCAATGTTAAGAAAATTATATAACTTAGAAAAGATAAGATCCCTCTTCAGATTTTAATTTAGTTATATATTTAACTAATTATTTTAGTTTCTTTAATCTTTTTTCCTCCTTTCAGGGCAATTCCACATCCCCGAGGTCATGCACATTTGGCAGCACTTGTCAACCATGACTGTAAGCAGTTTCTGAAATATTTTTCCATGAAGAGGTCCTTGAAAGAAAAGTGTTTTGTTCGATTATTTGTTTATTTTAGTGCGGGTGCAAGATAGGGCTTTAAAAGTGGACTGTTTTGAAAACATATTTATAGGAGAAAATAAATGATTAAATTTACCGACTCTAATCCATATTCTCCTGTCCTTAAGCTCCTATCTTCTGTTTAGTAATGGCTCAGAAGTTGCCCAGGTTAGGGAGGACAGCCTAGTGTGCTTTATATTACTTTGTGCACATTTCTGCTAATTTCTATAGATAATGAAGGAAACATATTTCAAGTTTATTTTAATATCTAAATATGGACATATACAGTATTCAAGTTAGTTCCTTATAATGATTGTCGTAAATCTTAGTTTTTAAAGTCTGCTTTAGAGAACAAAAGTAATAAAGTCCATAAAATCTGTTTGGTCCTATATAGCAGGGTATTAAAAATATACCTGACCAGTTAATTATTTGGATTCATGGACATCATCCTAGTGGTTTCAACAACATAACCCTATTACTAGGTGGTGATTGGACCAGGAAAGACTTATTTTTGGGGTTATCAGGCTTAGATGTAATACTATTTCTCAGACATTGATTTATATATAATCATGAAATTTGAGATACAGCATTTTATCAGAATTTACTTACCTTTATGCATTTAATTCCCAGATATGTATATGTGTTTTTCTCAAAATTAATATGGTTTTAAATACTATTTTATTACACCTGCAGATTTTAGATGTTTTCATCTGAAAGTAGATAAAAATGTGAAGCCATCTGTAATATGTGTTTTGAATAATAATAATTCTCCACTTAATTGGTTTTATTTTTTGCCTCAGCATACAACTTTTCTCACAGAATAGATCATTTGTCTTTTGGAGAGCTTGTTCCAGGAATTATTAATCCTTTAGATGGAACGGAAAAAATTGCTATAGATTGTAAGTACTTAATACTTATTGTTGGAATTTGCATGTAGGCAATTTTTTTATATCTTTAATATTAATACATTTTTTGATAATCCTCTTAACCCCCTTGTAACAGATAAGCATATAAATCTTTAAGTAGTTTAAGTGGTTAATAAACTTTAAGTGGAGATGTGTGTGGAAAGACTTTGTCCTACCAGTGGATAATATTTAAAATGTTAAAAAAATGAACCATAGAACAGAGTAAAAAATTAGAATTTAATGTAGGCTGGAGGAGTAGAACTTAAAAACTCTCTAAATGTATGAAAGATTAATGTGTTAATAGGGCATAACTGCTTTCCTATAGTCACTAAAAAAAGAATGAGAACAAAAGGAAGTTTCAACATTCTAAGAAGAATTTTTCTTTTTGGTATAGGTTCATAGTTCTAAAATGCATATTTACCACTATGGAAACCTCTCTGCAGAATTTTGCAGGCATCAGAAACCTACAGTTATTCTAGAATGGTTTGGTTATCAACACAGATAGAAATTGTACATCAAGCATGTCAAATTGAAAAGTTATATGGGCCAAATAAACAAGATTTAAGTTTATGTGGGCCGCAAAAAAACAAATGCTTCAATTTTCATAGAAATGTAGGTTTATTTCAGTAGAGACATGCTGAATACAAAGGGCTGAAATGAATGAGTAATCGTTAACATAAAATAATAGACCGTTTTAATAAAAATATTTTTTCTTGAACATTAATTTACCAGACACTGAATAACTGCACAAATTAATAAGTGTAATGCAAATAAGCCTATTTTTCTTGCTCTCTGAAAGCGAAATATTTCCTGTTGCGCACACCAAACAAGTTAGTCCAAGACTAATGACGTGGCAGTCGGCTGCTAAAATATTTGCTGCTAGTTTTAGTGGAGAGAAATGGTGTGCCTGCACGTAAGGCGCGTAAGGGAAATGAATGCAACATGTTTATAGTAATTATTAGCAAACATAGTTCATTATTAATAGTATAACAGGATCTTGTAAAAATTAAGTTACGAAATTTTTATTAAAACATTTCTTACATACCATTATATAGGCTGGGCCGCATGTGGGCCGCAAGTTTGACATGCTTGTTGTACATTATAGCACAGATACCTTTTGTTTCTGTTTTAACCTTCTATTCCACTTAAAATTTAAGTTTATTTAGATATGGGTGGCTTATTATTATGTTTTTAACTTTTGTAGCAAGTAATCTCTTGAGCTTCCTGATGGTTTTGGTTCCCTTTCCTCTTCTTAAATAGTCATATTGTATGACATGTTGCACTTTTAGGACCTTTTAAGGACATCTAAAGCTTCCTATACTAGTGGGGATTCAAATCTTTACAAAACTGAAATTAAGGATTTCATTTTTTGATTAAAAGAGCTTTATTAATATTATTTTCAATATCTTACTCTTTTAGTATCCTAATATATAAAAAGTCAGGGGCCGTCATGACCAAAACAACTGGACAGACGATGGAACAGCAGGCTGCATGGGGCGACAAGGCTGGCAGGGGTGTTAGTGAGGGATGACCAAACGACTAAACAGCAGGCCGCGTGGGGTGACCAGGCCAGCAGGGGGGGAAATTGGGGGCGACCAGGCCGGTGGGGGGACAGTTGGGGGCAACCAGACCAGCAAGGGGGCAGTTGGGGGCGACCAGGCCAGCAGGGGGGCAGTTAGGGGCGACCAGTTCAGCAGAGGGGCAGTTGGGGGCGACCAGGCCGGCATGGGGGGCAGTGAGGGGCGACCAGGCCAGCATCGGGGGGCAGTTAGGGGTGACCAGGCCAGCAGAGGGGGGAAGTAAGGGGCGACCAGGCCAGCGGTGGGGGGTGGGGGGGCAGTTAGGGCAATCAGGCATGCAGGCAGGTGAGCAATTAGGAGACAACGGTCCCGGATTGTGAGAGGGATGTCCCGGATTGGAGAGGATGCAGTCTGGGCTGAGGGGACCCCCCCTCCCCCCGTGCACGAATTTCATGCACTGGGCCTCTAGTATAGTGTTATAATCAGATACATTAAAGATGTTTTACTTAAAATACTGACTTACCTTCAGAGTATTTTGTGTTTGTATGAGAATGTTTTCACTTAAGGACACTTGAGTGTACTGAATTTAGAAATGTCTGAGTAGAAATTATAAACTCTTATAATCTAATTTTTAGTCTAAGTATATGTTCATTGTATTCCAAAATGCATTAAATATTACTTTAGAAATGTTCATTTGAAAACAAGTTGGCTAATACTATGTTTCATGATGCTAAAATGAACTATTAATTTCTGTACAGAAGTGGTTCTAAATATAAATATTAATTTTCAAAAGGCTTTTTTAAAGTTTACTTGTTCCTAAATTCAAAAGACTAGTAGGTATTTAGAGTTATGTTATAAAATGCCACTAGATGAATGTCAGTAAGTTATTCAAAGCTTTAAAGCAGATATACTCTTCTCCTCCTAACGTATGTTCTCTTGGGCCTCTTTTCAAAAGGATAAAAAGTTAGCATTAGAAATCTACTGTGTTCAGGTAACCACCTTCTCCTTAATGTTCTCCAGAAATTTTGAGGGGATTACTTAACAGATACACCTTTAAAACTATGCAGATTTGAACATATCTAAAACCTTTGGAACAATTTGTAGTTTGCAGCAACATTTCATTCAACTGCACCCCACCTGCCTCCCACCCCCCAGACTGGCAATTAAGTTATTTAACAAACATGTAGCCCTTTCTTGAATTAACATTAGACAAATAGATCTTCAGTAGTTGTCTTGCCACAGATTAAAAGGATTCTAGTTTTTCCTGTCATATTTCTTTGACCATGATTTGTTATTTATTGCATTGAAACTTCACTCCAGCTTGTGGAGAGTTTCCCTTTGTCCTTCATTTTTACCCACAAGTCTAATTATCTCACCCATATGTGAGTGAGATAATTGGTTATTGCCTCACCACTCTCAGTTTCAACTTTTTTCATAAATACTTAAAGCCTAAACACCTTTTCTCCTATCACTTTCAGCTTGCTCTCTCTATGACATGATAGAGCAGTGATGGCGAACCTATGAACTCATTTTTTTGGTTGATTTTTCTTTGTTAAATGGCATTTAAATATATAAAATAAATATCAAAAATATAAATCTTTGTTTTACTGTGGTTGCAAATATCAAAAAATTTCTATATGTGACACAGCACCAGAGTTAAGTTAGGGTTTTTCAAAATGCTGACATGCCGAGCTCAAAAGGTTCGCCATCACTGTGATAAAGTTTATTTGTAAAACACCTAAATCTAAGCACAGAATGAGCAACTCACCTTACATCAAAGAACAAGCTAAAGGATGAAACTGAAGACCATCCACAATTGATATGCTATGCACTGGTGGTAGACAAAGTTGACACCCTTTCACCCTAATATTGTCTATGATAATATTTAGGATGTTATGTTGAAATTAATAATGGGAGAACTGGTAAAAAACTTTATTTTTTAAAGTTAGTGTGGTACAAGTAGTAAGAGAAATAAGTGATGATATTGAAACAAGCTTTGATTTATTATGTTAGAAACTTGTTTAATGCTAGTGTGTGAAGAAACCATTATACATACCTCTCTGCCTCATATCTATAGTTTCACCCTTCCTTCCCCTATTCAAAACCCTTCCCTCTCCTATTCAGAATTAGACTGAGATAGGAGACAGACATTGGATTGGTAGAAATAAAAATTCATTTATGCTGAGCAAAGAAAACAACTAGACACACAAAAGTATATACTGTATACTTCCATTTATATGAAATTCTAGAATAGGCAAAACTAATCCATGAATTTCATAAAATACTAGAGGCCCGATGCACGAAACTCGTGCAAGAGTAGGCCTTCCTTCCCTTGGCTGTCGGCACCAGCTTCCCTCTGGCACCTGGGACCCGAGTTTCCCTCCAGCAGGCACCCAGTACCCAGGCTGGCTTCCCTCTGGCCGCCGGCAGGGACCCAGGACCCGGGACCTGGGCTTCCCTCGCAGCCCCAGCTTCGTCCGGAAGGTTGTTCGGCTGTCTGGTCTAATTAGCATATTACACTTTTATTATATAGGATAGACCTAGAGAATTAATGTTTTGTACTATGTAAACTGTTAATTGTTTAGAATTAAAAATTAGTAATATAATGGTATTTATGACTTGTACTAAACCTAGACATGCCTAATCTTTATATATAAAAGCCTGAACAACCGAACAACTGGTCACTATGACGCACACTGACCACCAGGGCGCAGACGCTTAACGCAGGAGCTGCCCCCTGGTGGTCATTGTGCTCCCACAGCCAATCTCCCGTGGCTCCTCCCCCCAGCTGGCCAACCTCCCACGGCCCCGATCGCCAGCCAGGCCGAGGGACCCCACCCGTGCACAAATTCGTGCACTGGGCCTCTAGTGACTATAAATATGATCCTTTTGATTACACAATAACCCAAGCCATCCTTGAATAGTTCCTTTAGTTAGTTTCTGCTGTGGTATCAATTTCCTTACATTTAACCAAAGGGTGGCTAATTCAGTGTTGGTTTACTTACATATTTTAAGATATTAGTAGAAACTGAAAATATGTCCTGTGATGGTTAGAATATTGTAACTTTTCTCTTACTAGTTTTTGTACTGTAAAGGAATGCTACTTTTATTTTCCATATTTGATATAAGGATGGTAATGATTACAAAGATATCTAAGTGACTAGTTCATCCTTTTAAATATCTTATAAAAGATACGTATGTGACTGCTTACTGAGAAATTATTTTATCAAGTATTATATTGATTTCATTTAGTCTTTTAAAATTACTTTTTGTTAGACGTTTAGTCACAAGCATTACGTTTCTATTAGTGTATTTAATAGAAGGAGGATATGTTTGGCAGTAGTTTTGTTGCTACTGGATTGATGGAAAACACAATTTGTTTTTATTCTAGACAACCAGATGTTCCAATATTTTATTACAGTTGTGCCAACAAAACTGCATACATACAAAATTTCAGCAGACACCCATCAGTTTTCTGTGACAGAAAGGGTAAGTTAAATCCAATTAATAGAATGATTTTTTTTTTAGCATTTTATATTCCTCCTGCTACATAATAAGGTTGTACTTTCAGTTGGTGCCCTCCCCCATTTAAATTTGTTGAAAAATTGAAATGCATTAATATTTTAAGACAATAAAATACCAGAAATGGGTCTTAATATGTTCTAGTGAAAGAAAAGAAGTAGAGAAATGGGTGTTAATATGTTCTAGTGAAAGAAAAGAAGTAGTATATATATTTTTTTTAATCTGGAAGGTTTTGTATTCAATTAACTCAAAGTTATTAAATTGATGGCATTAATTATTTTAGTCTTAATATCTTAATTTTGTAATGTTTTCTCATGTATTGGTATAAACAGTTTTCTTATTTGCTGGCAGATTCTCTGATTGCTGTGTTACTTCCTTTTTAATTAATGTATCTAACCTTGGTCATGCATGCTTATTGTGGCTCAGATAACAGATTTTGAGGGTTTGTCTTCCTGACTTGTGCTTTGTCTACTTAAGAGGACAAGTGTTCTGCAACCTTAGGGTGCATTGGCCTTATAAATAAATATGACAGTGAGGATCAGAGTGCTGGAATTGGACAGTTTAATATTTCTCATCTATTCTGGGGTCATGTTTTCTTACTGTGTTTAAGAATGGTAAATATTCAAATAGTAGTATTCAGAAGAATTCTAAGGCAAATTTAAGTACTTAAAAATTTGCTTGAGATGGAGTTTTCTTTTAATAGTCTTATACTTTGTGATGGCTTTGTCCTTAATGCTTATAGAATTTTCCTTATTCTTAGATTAAATACTAAATATTGTAGGGGTGAAGTGTCATGTGTTTAAAACTTTTCACATGACTCAGCAGGGGAATCAAGTATGTACTGGTATAATAACTGTGTGTGTGTGTAACTAGGTAAAGTGTACACAAGTATATATTGTGCTTTTCTGCATTTCTGTATGGGTAGGGAGATACCATTTCTCACTAAGATTGGCACCACCTGATGTCGGTCTACATAGTGGCCAAGCTTTGGGGAAAACAGGCACACATCATTGCTATGGCAATGCAAAACAGCATAGTCTCTAAGGAAGGGAATCTGGCAGTATCTATACAATGACTCAGTAATCCCAGTTCTAGGAGTTGAATACAAGGATAAAAATAGAGAAAATATCACAGTGATGTGTGTATGAGGGTATTCTTTGTGTTATTTATAGAATACTAGAAACAACTTAAGTGGTACATCCACAATTGAGGAACATGCAACTTTAAAAAAAGAGAGAAAATATATAACTGTATACCAATACAAAATTATCTTCATGATATATCCTATATAATAAAACCCTAATATGCAAATCAACCAAATGGCAGAACGACTGGTTGCTATGACATGCACTGACCACCAGGGGTCAGACGCTCAATGCAGGAGCTGCCCCCAGTGGTCAGTGTGTTCCCATAGGGGGAGTGCCGCTCAGCCAGAAGCTGGGCTCATGGCTGGCGAGCGCAGGGCAGTGGCAGGAGCCTCTCCCACCTCTGCTGCAGGTGGGCGGTAAGGAGTGAGGTGTCCTGGACTGCAAAAGGGATGTCCGCCAACCAGCTTAGGCCCACTTAAGCTGGCAGGCAGATATCCCCCAAGGAGTCTTGGACTGCGAGCGGGCACAGGCCGGGCAGAGGGACACACACACACACACACACACACACACACACACACACTCCAGTGTATGAAATTTTGTGCACCAGGCCTCTATTTTAAAGAATTAAATAAAATAAAAAATAGAATCCCAGAGCATTTGACCATTGCAGAGTATGTTTGTGCCAATAAGGTGACTAAAACAGTTGTGTTTCACTTAAGAAACAAAAAGCACAAAAGGAGTACCTGGAGTTGGTAAAGTGGAAGATGAGGGGGACAGAAATTGGGAGGACTGGCCTTCATTGGTCCTGCAACCCAAAGGGGATCATTATTAGTCTTTTGTTCCATGGATAGTCTGATTGATCCCTGAAATATCTTTCATCCATAGAGGTGGTGAGAGTATATTTTGGCATGGCTGAACTTATCAGGGCTTTAAGATGAAGTCACTTTATTGGAAACTTGAACAATGGCTTTATAAGGCTCTATTGTGTTAATAGGGGGACGGGTTTTATAATGTCCAAATAAAATTGTTTTAACTTACCTTGTTATTTGTATTCTAAAGCTTGCAGTTCAATTGTAGCTGAGTCAAAATAGGTAGGGCCTGACAATAAAAGTCATAACAAAGCATTGTGATAGTATAGTTGTTTTGAGCTATAATAGAAATGTTTTAGAAAGTTTGCAAACTTGATTTTGAAGTGTAAACAGAATGAATGAAATAGAATATTTTCTTAGTGTGCAGTGTGGTAGGTTTATAATTTTAGTTTCATTTCTTTCAAGAAAACAAATTTTTAAACACTGAACCAGTTTAAACCAAATATTGATATCTTTAAAATTAATGCACTATTTTTTTTCCTGTACTATATCTCATGTTTAAAATGAACAGCAGAGAGTGAAATTGTTTGTTTTTAAATCTGATCATTTAAATAACAGGAAGTAAATGATTATTTTGTAAGTGCTTAGCAAAGAAATATAAAAAATATGTCAAAATAAGAATTTAGTTTTCATTGATTTGGTCAATGAAGAATGTCCCACATAGTTAGTTATAAGCTCTTGAGCTCAATAGAAAATTTGTATGTTAAGTGACCTTTTAGAGAAAATCAGAAAGAATAATTTTCTCCTTCAGATTGCTTCTAAAGCTAACCACTCAAAGAATACAGAACAATTTGATTGTCTCTTAAGACCCTAGACTAGTGGGGCAGTTCGTGCAGAGGTTTGGATGTCCCTCTCCCACAGTAGGGGTGTAGGGCTTCATAGTGACTGTATGTACGTAACCAGCTGACATAAGTCCTGTTTTGCTTCTCCTCCTCTCTCTCCCCTTCCTCTGCCTTCCTTTAGGAACGTGTCATTAATCATGCTGCAGGCAGCCATGGATTCTCTGGGATATTTATGAAATATGATCTCAGTTCTCTTATGGTGACAGTTACTGAAGAGCATATGCCATTCTGGCAGTTTTTTGTAAGACTCTGTGGTATCATTGGAGGAATCTTTTCAACAACAGGTTAAGATTCATTCCTTTTTTGTCTAATTTCTAAAACTGTTGCTGACACTGAAATTAGGATGTTTGTACTTAAAAGGGGCAAAAAATATACACTTTCTCATGTTTTGATATTTAAAGAACTTTTTCTTTTAAGACTTCATTCCAAATCTCCAAAATTAATGGATTAAGCATACCTAAACTCACTGCATTCAGTGATTTAAGGGAGATTACTTAGTGAGCTAGACAGATCCTGGAAGTGAATCCAAGTTCTCCCATTTACATAGTGATAGCCTTGTATAAATCTCCTACCTTTTCTGAAATTGTTTTCTCATCTATAAAAAAGGAAATAATGGTTCCTAACTTGCAAGTGTGTTGTAGAATTAGATGAGAAAATGCCTAGAAATAGTAGACACTTGAATGTAAATTTTCTATTTGTTTTAAAGTATTTTTAATTGTATGATATGTAAAATAATATCTTATGGTACTTGGAACTATGTGATAGTTCAGTCAGTGTTTTTATGATTTTGACCTTTTTGCCCCGATACTATGGGGTTCTCTCAAAGATAATTACTTGCAGAATTGTAAGAGTTAAGTACAATAAATAGAGAAAGGAAATAGTTCTTTCTTTATCCCCAACCCATATTGAGTATTACATGGACTGAGTAGTTTATATACTTTGAATTATATTTTTTAGATAAATGACTAGCTTTTCTTATAAAAGTCTTTGTCATTGTTTCATTTAAATGCATTTAAATTTGTGGTGCTGGTATTTATTTTTTAAAATTATGTGGGTGGAAGATGTATTAAGCACTCTTGAAAAGATTACTTTGTCAAGTTCAGGAATCATTGGATCTTGTGATTTTGAAAATAAATTCATTTGTTTTAAAATTTAACTGTCATTACTTTTAACTGTGGGAGTAAAGCTGACTGCTTTCTTTCCTTAATCTATACCATTATAGTTCAGTTTTATATTATTTAGGAAATAATTACATTATAGCATAATTTAATTAAAACATTTTTTTATTACAGGCATGTTACATGGAATTGGAAAATTTATAGTTGAAATAATTTGCTGTCGTTTCAGACTTGGATCCTATAAACCCGTCAATTCTGTAAGTGGTATAGTATAAATGGTACTGATCTCTAGCTCGTAGTACTATTGTTAAATCTAAACAGTATCTTTTGGTGCCCAGAAAAAAATTGTCCCCAATAAAGCCTTGTGTTTAGAGGAACTAGTATAATGAGTAAAACTGATTCTTTGGTCTTTTTCTCCCTAGGTTCCCTTTGAGGATGGCCACACAGACAACCACTTACCTCTTTTAGAAAATAGTACACATTAGCACCTCCTAGGTGAAGGAGAAAAACTTTTTGCCTGAGACATCAAACCTTTTTTAATAATAAAATATTGTGCAATATATTCAAAAGAAAAAAAAAACATGAATGAAAAGCAGGAATCATACCTAGAAAAAAAAGAAAAAACCCAAACTGAAATCCTATATATGTTGTGTCTGTTACAAATGTCTTAGAAGAAATTATGCAGCTAATCAGTGAATAAGTCCAACTGGAATAGTGCTTCGAAGATGACCCCTTCTGATATTTTCACAGCAAATGGGCAGTGTCGAAATCGGACCTTGAAGAGGCTGAAGGAAAGAGGTCAAACCACATCTAAAGAAAAAGGCATTAATAGTGCTAATGTCTGCGTCCTTTTGTTTTTAAAATATGATGTCAGAATAAAATATGGAAAACTAGTCTAAACTTTAAAAAGTTGTGATCAGGTCACCTTGTTAATAAAGGTAAACAGGGATGGGTTCACATGCCATAGCCATATTAACGTTAAGCCATAATGACAAGACCATTTATCCCATAGTTTGGTCTTTTGAAGGTAACTGCTTTTCTTTAACCTCTGGCTATTGACTTTTTTAACTATTCAAGGCAGGTGAATTCAAAGACCAAGGTGAATTCTTACAGGGGCAGATACATAGGTGCTATAATATGTAACTGGAATCATTCACAAATTGGATGGTGGGCACTAATACAGGGAAAAGAAAGCACATGTTTTTAAAAGATGCTAAATTTTCTAATCTGATCATATTGTTGGTATACTGTGGGAGCAGGGGGTGAGTAATAAAAAGATACACTACTGATAATGAAAATTATCAGTTTGTAAAATATTAAGAAAAGTAGAATATTTTATACATGCTGTGGTGAGTAGGTGACAGGGTAACTTTAAATAAAATAAAAGTGTGAGGCAGCTATTTAAGTAAAACAAGATGTCATATCTGAGAGGTTATCATTAAATGATTTCCGTTAAACTATTAAACTGGATGAAAGAGGTATTTGCATTCAGAATGTTCTGAATGTGGTTGATTCTGTATTAGATTGTGTTGTTCTGTCTTTCTTACTATTTAAGACTTGATTTAAAATTTTCAGACTATAAAAGATTAAAAATGAGAGGGAGATATCATTCAGGTACCATTAAAAACTTATTTGGAATATGTATGCCAACATAAGTTTCCTTTTGTAATACTTAATGTTAGTAGAAGAATCTTCAACCAATCCCCATGGTGTAAATCACTTAGGGAAATAGGGAAACAAAAATTCCGGGTAAGTACCAAGGCCAAGGCTAAAAAGCTAGATTTAAAAATCATGGTTTTTAGAGGACAGGCTGTCACAAGCTGTAGTTTTTCAAATGGATTTTTTTAAAAAGTAAAATGGTTTCTTGAAAACAGTTTGGACAGTAATGTAATGGAGAGGAGAAATACTGAAAAAACTTTGCAGTAAAGCTTATGTTGAATGGTATTTTGCAGAAAATAACAAGCATCAATGTTTAAAATGTAGTTTATCATTAAAAGCCACAAAGTTAACTGATTAATACAGGTGACATAACAGGCTTTGAAACATATTTGAATCCAGAAAATTCCAAATAATGAATATGTTTTTTATTTCTTCAGATATTTCCAATGAAAGACTAGAAACTAATAGAGCATCTCTCAAAAGGAATTTTAACTGGAGAGAATTAGAATTTTAGCTATTTTTATTAGACTGTTGGTTCTGTGAGTCTGCTTGTCAGAGAATTCCATCAAATTTCAGGGGTTTTGTTTTTTAATGGGAGGAAAGACAATAACCATTTAGAATTATTTTCTTTCTTGTAGGATTATAGCAGTTAACTATCTCTTAAAATTTTTAAATCTTCATTGTTGAAAGTATTACACATGTTCCCTTTTCCCCCCAATAACCCCTTCTAGCCTGCCCCCCTGCCCCAGGCCTTCACCACCCTATTGTCTGTGACCATGGGTTATACATCTATATATGCATATAAGTTTTTGGTTGATCACTTCCCACCCATCCACCTTCCCCTGCCTTCCCTCTGAGGTTCTGCAGTCTGTTCTATGCTTCTATATACCTGGATCTATTTGTTCATCAGTTTATTTTGTTCATTAGATTCCACATAATTGTGATATTTGTATTTCTCTGACTGGCTTATTTTGCTTAGTATAATACTTTCCAGGTCCCTCCATGCCATCTCAAAGGGTAAGTGATCTTCCTTTTTACTGCTGCATAGTATTTCATGTTATAAATGTACCACAGCTTTTTTATCCTCTCATCTACTGATGGGCACTTGGGCTGTTTCCTGATCTTAGCTATTGTAAATTGTGCTGCTATGAACATAGGGGTGCATATATACTTTAAGAAGAATTTTAAAAATTATTTAGGTACTTATATGATTTTTAATTGTTTTCATGTTTTTCACATACCATATTGAAATGTTAATGGAATTATTTTTTCCCATTAAAACTATGAAAGGAATTTCTTCAAAGCAAAATCTTGCTTTGCTATTGATTTTCATTTTAAAAATTAAGAAAGATTTCCAGCTGAAATTCCTTGAATAGCAAGATCAGATTTTTTGGCAATCAAAACATAAGATTCTTGTCAGCCCTTTGGATGATGGATGATGAAGTATACCTGTATATTAAGATTTGTTAGGTGTTCTGATCTCACCAAGTGTTGCTTTGAACACTGTATGTAGTGACCTATTCGGCTTATGCCTGGGGATGCCTTCAGTAGGATACCTAACTTTATTAACTCAATCCTTTTTATTAGGCTGTTCATAATATCTACACATATATTTCAGTCTAAATATTTTGAAGTTGAGACCTTGAATTATATGAAATGTTTTTTTTTAATTATTTGCATACCTTGGCCTATAAGAAGAGATGAAATATTTAGGTGAATAATTCTCTGCTACAGTATTTGTACACTTCAGACTACCTCTTGGAAAAGCTTAACTCAGAATTACAAAATTCTATTTTCAACTCAGATAATTTAATATGCTTTTCTCATGCATTTTATGATACAAAGCACTGAATTTTTAAAAAAATTTATGAATGCAAACAAAATTTACAATCTTTAATACAAACTTAATTCATAAAGGACTGACTAAGATGTCTTAATTTTTTAATGGTGTAAGGGGAGGGCTAAATTACATACATTCTGTTTTCATGTCTGAGGTTAGTAATTCAAGTACTAACTTATATATGTAAAGTAATCTAGCACTGAGCATTTTTCCATACTTCTGTGTGGGCATATGGAGCAACCATTACATTTTAGGATAGGTAGTTGCTTATGTTTCCAGAACATTAGATTTGCAGTTCTAGAAAAATAGCCACGTGGAAATTTGCATGTGACTCCTGTGAACTTTGCAGATTATTTATGTTTTTGGAAATTTTAGGCTGACCTACATTAACTATTAACTTTATTGTGAGAGAACACATTATTTGGGTGTTAGTCCCTTGGATCAGTCTATTTACCTTGAGATTCTAAATCAGTTATTTTAAAGTGATAAGTGGAGATAATGATGTTAGGTTAGTATAAAATTGTGAGAAATGTTTTTTCTGAGTTCTGTCCATCTGACCTAACTTTCTCTAATATTAATTGCCTTAGGTGGTGACTGTCTTCAACTCAGTAGTATTTATTACTGTATCGGGTATTTAGTGAGTGCAGAATATAGGGGTTACCAAAACTTTTCAAATATAAATACCTTTTCTTTCTACTTACCATCCCCTTCCCCCCAAAAGTAGGAGGTTTTTTTTCCCTCATTGCACTGTATATATTAGGCACTCAAATAATTGTTAGTCTTGATTTAAAATCACTTCTTTCATACAGATACCTATCTGCTTTTACTGCTTACAAGAGAACTATGTCATGTCTCTAATACGACAGGTAGAAAACACTGCAGCATATAAATGCTACCCTATTAATGGTCAGAAAAAGTGGAGCATTATGTACTTATATGTTAATTTGTATTAAACTGGTAGGTTCTTGGGATGATTACATTTTTTTCTCAGGGAGAGTTAAAGACACAATACTGAAAAAGAAAAACAATTTTAATTCAAATTTCCATGTAATCAAAAGTCAAAATGAATACTTGATCAGTGGAATTTATTGAATTAGTAAAACAATCAAAAGATAGTAAATTCTTAGAACTATTATGTTTTATCCAGTCTCATTGAATTATATATATTTCATTTTTACTGTATCTGTAGTTATCAGTGTAACTCAAAAATATTGTGTAGGCATCTTAAGCTAAAGATCACCAGCTGTTTTTTTTTCAGAGCTGGGTTGTGTGCCCTGGAAAGTAATTCCCAGAACTTAGATGAGATTGGGGTGGATATTGTCCAGAAGAGTTACCCCAAAATGCCTTTTATGGGTTCAGAAAAATCTCAAATAATCCTAGAAGCTTCCCTCAGTTACTTCAATGTGCCATTTTGAGTACCAATTATTACAGCTAGTAAGCATAAACATGTTAACATTCTATGTTCATGTAATTATCTAGTAGTTGTGATTATTTTTAATTGGGCCCCAATTATTAAACTTGAATAATAACCCATGTTTTTAGCATGAGATAACTGCAATCAGTATGCACTGATTTCTCAAATCAGATGAAAGTTAGGGTAATAGTTATATAGAAATTTAGGAATAAATAGTTTTTAGTAATTCATTTTTATTATACATAAAATATTTTTAAACAAAACACCTATTCTCTAAATGTAGTCACTTAATGAAGTCTGTCCTTTTCTGCTGTACATTGTACAATTAGCAATGTGCAATTGGAATGATCGAGACACTAGACACTCTAATGATCTGGTGCTCACTAGAGTAATCTTCCCCACTTTATAGAAAAAGACTGAGACTAGCATTTAAATTTGTGTTTAAAGTTTCGTTTTTCCTCAATGCAAAGATCAAGAGACTGGGTTTTTATATGATTCCAGCCTAGGAGCTTCCTCCCCATTTCATCACTCCTATTGAGGCCTGAGTAAAATAAGCTTAAAGTAGAAGGTTACAGCATCTGTGAGGATGTTGAAACCATTCTTCCACTTAGATTGATTTTAAACCTTTATACTGGGTACCCCAGACTAGCCTCAAGGCTAGAACTGCCTTTCTTGAGCATATTTTCACTTCTGGGTGTTCTGTGTTTATTGAGTTGCAGTTAGTCCTCTCAATGAGAAGAACGCTAAATATGGAAAGAGGGTTGTACTTTGGTGTTTTATATTCAAGGACATAGAGTGTTAGGAAGCAACCTGGAAATTATTTTTTCCTAAAATATGCTTGGCTATGACTTTCCTTCTCTCACATAAAAAAAAAAAAAAAAAAAAGAGAAATAGGAAATAGGGCTAAATACATAACAGGACATTTGACAGGTGATGAGGTTGGGCATAGTCTGCCACTTCGTAGTCTTGAGGACCACAGTTTGCTGTTATAGAGGTATCTGAGAGGTACCAGATAAATGAAGACTGCCAACTGTTCTTAGACCTTGAGCGTGCTGGGCGCCCTAAAGTAGGAGAGAAACTTATAACAGAAGCTCACGATGAAGAACCAGACGTTCCGAGCCATCTGAGATCTTGCCATAAGAAGGCGCCAGGCGATGAGGAAGAGGGCAGTATTAAAGAGGTAGTGAATATTTCGGAGCCTGGGGAATGGACATATATAGTGAAAGTTAAAACAGTGCCAAATACCCAACTATTATCTGAAACATAAATGTGTTTCTCTCTGGCTATCACAAGCAAATAATTAAATGCTTACAGGTATAACCTGATAAGCCTTTGAGTTTTATCTTTCACTTCCACAACATTCTCAATAATCAGATTTCCATAACATTACCTTGACTAGTTTCTATTTATCATACTTCTCTCTACTGTAACCTATCTTGCAAACATGGCTAACAGTCTTTCTTAAAGGTACTTTGATCATATTACCATATCACAAATTTTTACTGGTTCCTGTTCACTAGAGGGTAAGTCCTAAAGTTCTCAACCTACTGTTCAAGGTTCCACTCTGTTTTCAGTTTACTTTTTCATCCTTACTATCTCTATTAACCCTTTGCTTCTGCCAGAATTATACCAGACTGTTGTGAGTCTTTGTCCTTGAAGGGATTAATGACAAATTTAAGGCAGCTGAAGGACTTGAAGAGTGGTTATGCCCATGTTACATAGTCTGATCAGTCTCCTGCCTACTGGGTATTCTTTTTCTATATCACATGGTAGGGTGTGGTAGAAGAATCAAAGACACAGGTTCAAATTTGGTTCATGTGTGACTATGAACAAATTACCATTATTCTTGATAAAAATGGGATAACAGAAAGAATGCCTCATAGGGGTGTGGTGAAGGTAAATGAAACAGTGTATCACAGGGCATAGTATAAAGGGAAGGACCTATTATTTAGTAAAAGCTGAAAAAATGTTAATTCCTCCTTTCCTTGGCTCAGATTTCATGTCTGGTGTAAAATCAGATACACAAATATTAACTGACTGACTATGCTTACCTTTTTAAGTGTTGCTTTGCTTCTGGGACCCCAGCCATATCCTCTTTCAATAAGTACTTCTTGACTCCTAAAACGTAATTTTCAATGTATTCCAACCAGTTCAACTGGCGTACATCAAAGTTGAATACCTGAAAGGCAAAAAGATAAAAGGATTGCCAGAATTGCACGGCTGGACAATCACTTTGTTCACTTAATTTTCTTTTACATAAATGAGCAACAGTCAGTTTAGAAGACTTAGCTGGATCCCTCCAAATAAGATTATTTGAGCTGCTATTTCGAAGGCCCTGATAATATAGGTTACCATTTCCTTGCAATATTTAAACATGGATCAAGCACAAATACTTTATCTTCAGGAAGTCTTGTGAGGGAAATTTAAGGAACTGTTATTAGTCTGGTGAAAGCTAATTTCATTTCATGTAAAGATGGATTAATTTTTAAAAGTGATGGAATATGTTAGGGACCAAAACAAATTATGCATCATTTTCTTTCCATTTCTCTTAAATGTTGATGGTGTCTCTTGGCCTACCTCCTTTTCCTACAATATCAGCACTTCCTTATGCAGATTAAAACAAACTTTGGAAAGCAAAGCCTTAAGGAGTAGCTTAGCAGAATTTATATTCTGTATTTGCTTTAGAGATATCCATTATGTCTCTCAGTGTGCCATTAAATGAAGCCATTCAAAACAGTTCTTTTAGTGTTAAGTGGTAAGGAAAGCTTTGCTTCTCTTGAAACATTAGTATGTTTTCTCCTGGACAAAGAATGGCATGAAACTATTTTCCCTTTTCCTTTTCCACCAAAAAGCTCACCAAAAAAATTCACTGCTTCAACGGGAATGACTTAGGTAGGATCTTGTATACTATAGATGGACATTATATATTTTCATTTTTATCCTTGACTTCATATTCTAATTCAATTTATTTCTATTCTCTTTACATGTGTGTTTATTGTAAGATATGTCAAATCTTTGAGATGATTTTGAGTATTATCAAAGAGAGCAGATGAGATTAACGAGTTACAAAGAGCTTCATAGATTTGTCCAAAGCTGAGTTGCTTTCCAAAAGTAATTCTGTATCATTTTGTTTGGATGTGTTTGTTTTCCACAGTATCACTATTACGTACTCATGGATATAAACAGCGGCCTTTTCTTTTATTCTATTTCACTTTTCTAAGGGAGATTTCAGTGAAGCCCTGGTTAGGAAACCTGATTCTGTAGGGCAAATCAAACTGGAAGCCGAGCCATCCCAGAGTTTGGCAATTAAATCCAAGTATTCAGGACTATTATCTTTGCTAAGGTATTTTGAAATTGTATGTTAAATCCACTACAGATTTGATTTTTTTCATGACATTTTAAGTGATTTTAGTTTAAAATAGTAAAATGTCAAAAATGAAACTCTAAGCTCATTACCTTTTGAATTATTTAGATGGTTAAATTCTGTGGAGAAATGCAATAAAGATAAGCCTACATAAAATTTGAAGCTAATTTTTAAAATAATGTACAATAGCTTGAGGTTTTTTTTAAATAAGCTGGTTTGATCAATCAGCCATGCATTTCAAACAGGTGTTTAGAAGAATTTTGTACAAGGTACGTAAACATTTCTGAAAATAGGTCTACTTCATGTTAATTATAGAGGTACTCAGTGATGATTTCAATTAAAATATCCTTCTAGATCTCATCTGGTTTATCAGCCTAACATTTATAGTGTTAGATTGTGCAAGTAACCGTTTGGTTCCATGACATATCTAGGATTGGATTTGAATCATGCTCTATGAGGCTGGTATGTTAGGAGTAAAATCCTTAGCCTCAAAGCTAGGCTAGCTACCCACTTAATGTTTACTTCTCAATATGACTTGGTTTCTTGTACATGCTGTCAAGAATGAGTTAAATCAAGAAATGTTTTTTTTCTTTAAAAAGAAATTTCAGTGGGAAAGTGTCAATCAAGAGAGTGAAAATTTTAAAGTTAAATTGCAAACTAATGACATGATCAGGGAACTCTTGACTCCTTGAGAAGGAAAGCTAGGAGCATGTACAAAGCACAAAATATTTCTATATTTGTGAATTTCAGAATATGCAAAGATTTCAGGGCTTATTGTTTGTTACCAAAGCTAATATAAAGAAATAAATGGCGCTGATGCTAAGCAATTAAAGTGAAGGCATGTTTTGAGAAATACAAATCTGAGTTGATTAAATCATTATAGGGAGGAAGATTGACAATGCTGGGGAGAGGGCTATACTGATGGAGGGAGGTCTTTTATGGGATAGAATAAATAGGAGTTGAGTTTAGCTTTAAAAAGATAAACTATTTTAGAGATGCCAAATGATTTTGATTTGATAAGAACAGTGGAGGAGAGAGTGTACAAGCAGAAAATTAGAAATTTTTATCAAAGTCATATGCTATGGCTATTAGGGGAAAGATAGAGGTACACAGGGTTTGTTGAGAACGCAACAACTGGGAGAGTGAACAAAGAATTAAAGCTAACTATATGAAGACCCCAGAACAGTAGTGAGGATCTAACAGAAGACCAAGACCCTTGATTTCTTACCTACATTAAGCTTGTTTCCTGCAACTGTGTTGATAGCATTGACTGATTTTCTTAGAGAAAAAAAATTCTGTATATAGCCCAGCTGGTGTGGCTCAGTGGTTGAGCATTGATCTATGAACCACAAGATCACCATTCAATTCCCAGTCAGGGCACATGCCTGGGTTTTGGGCTTGATCCCCAATAGGGGGCATACAGGAGGCAGCCAATCAATGATTCTTTCTCATCATTGATGTTTTATTTTTCCCTCTCCCCTCCTCTCTGAAATCAATAAAAATATGTATATTTTTAAATTCTGTGTATATAACTAGAACTTTATTCATCAACTTTTCAGGTCAAATACTTCCAAATTCCAAGTGAGTAAGATTTTCCTATTGGCTAAGTCAGTGCTGTACTTACTCTCTGGTCTTCAGGACTCAGCTTTGACATCAGCATTTCTGTGTTACTTGTGCTCCATTCCCAGCTCCGGTTGACGAAATACTCCAGCATGGAAACAGTTCTTAAAAGCCGGTTCATGAGCTTTGTCATCCTGAGTTAAAGATCAGATAGGAGCCAGTATCATCAGCATAGCACAGATGGCTGCTTCCCTGTTACTCAAGGAATGCGTGAGAAATTGTCTTTGAGAAAGATAAAAATTATCCCTCCACCAATCTTCATCTCCACTAATTCTCATAGCATCCCAGTTAGGTAGGTATAAATCTGCACTTGTATGAATGCAGTAAAGTGAATTTAAGATAAAGTGGCCACAATAATAGGTGTGGAAGCCAAAATTCCAACCAGCTTTGACCTCAAGAAGCCTCTGCTTCTGTAATCTCGCCATCCTGCATCCCATTGCTTAAAAGTGGACCACGTCTTCCAATCCTGTGGTCAGGACTTGGACCAGCTCGGCTTTGTGAACTTGCCAACTTAACAACTTACAAAAACTTCCATATACAGTCTAATTGCTCTTCACAGTATTACTCTGAAGTAGTCGAGATCTGTATTACTTATCTTCATTTTACAGAAGGATTATTAATAGGTTTGTGGTTACATGGCTAATGCTTAAACCTAGGACTTACGGGTACAAGTCACCTTTGGCCTATAGAACAATTGATTTTTACCTTAATCAGGCAAATCATGATAGTAGTAACTCAGCAATGACTTACTATGCTGTTTTGGGAATTTGGTTTTATTTATGGTCAATCTTAATGCCCACATACTTAATGACTCCTGAGGTACTCTCATTGTATCATGGGAAATGCTTAGGCAGGAGGTAAAATAATGCATCAGAACAGGGTTCTATTTAGCTGTTATTATCTAACATCTTTGCTGCAGACTAAATATTTGTGTTCCCCTGAAATTCATATCTTGAAACTTACATCCCCATAGCGTGATGGTCTTTAAAGGAGGAGACTGGGAGTTGATTAGTGCCCTTATAAAAGCTCATTCGCAGCATTGGAGGGCACAGAAAGATGACTGTCTAGGAACCAGGTAGCAGGTACTCAACATACCTAGTCTACCAGCATCTGGATTTTAGATGTCCCAGTCTCCAGAACTGTGGGAAATAATCTATATTGTTTATAAGCCCTCTATTCTGTTATAGCAGCCCAAATGAAATAAGACATTCTTCATGCATTCTATAACTCTGATGTAACTGATGTAATTTCAATAGATTTATTTTAATTCTTAATCATCGTGCAATGATATTATATGTACAGGACTTTATCAGCACAATAGTATTTTTTTTATAAAGAAAAAATACAGTTCTTATTCTCAGGTCTTCTTAATACATAAAATGCAAAAGCCAAAACGTGATTCATTTTATCACATAAAAATTTAGAACTTCTTTTAGTAGTAATAGTGTTACTGTATTCTACACGCTCTTATTCAAAACCATATAAAATAGCTATTACTATCTCTTTTTTTTTACAGGTGAGAAAGTTAGGCTTCAGGCAGGTTAAGTAATTTAGGGCTCATGTGGCTAAACTGGTGAAGTCAGAAGTCAGACTCCAAACTTATATGTAGCTCCCCTTGTATTATAAAAATTTCATTTTCAAAGCTATAAGGAATAGACTTAGAGGAAATACATCAAATATAGTTGTGTACACACACACACACACACACACACGAGTTTCCAGAAATTATTAAGGCCAACCCAATAGAAAAATAGATGAGAAATAGCAACTCAGAGTAGAGAAAATTTGAATGTCTAATAATGTCTAATGAACAACTGATGGAGGAGAAAACTTGAATGTCTAATGAACAAAACTTGAATATTTGATGAACACAAGGGAGTGCTAAGGACTTGGGGCTCAAATAAAAGTAACAAAGAGATGCCATTTGTTGTTTTTATTTTGACAATTGCAAATGGACAGAACCTTTGTTGAGGGCAACCACATATGCTCCAATCCAGCAAAACCACCCCTCAGCATCTTCACCAAACCAGGTGCACATTCTATAAAAAAATTCATGTGCGCTGGTATTTGTTTACCTCAAAGCAAACCTATATGTATTTCCATATGTGGTTGTAAATGCATAGATCAAATACACGAGGTGAGGGAAGGTTCTAGAAGGACTCTAGCATTTTCTGCCATAAAGATTATTAAAATGTCTATCAAAAACAAACTTACCAGTTTTCCACAAATATTACAATTTAATTTCTCAAGAACAAAATTCATAAAGATTTGTATTGGGTCCCTTCTTTGTCTTTTCTACTTACTAAACTTTGCTCTTTATATAGGTCTTCTTCCATCCTTGATATATTTTATAAAGTCTTGAGCATTTCTGCTTACAATGTTTTTCTTTTCCCATTTTTATGTAATAAGCCCCATACAAATATTTTCCCCATAGCCACAGTGTCCCCTTTTCACTTTGTTCAAGGAGAAATTGACAATTACTGAGTGATGAGCTCTTAATAAGGTCTCTGCAAAATTTAAATAAACTCTACAGTGCCTATGTTTTAGTCACTTGCTCCGCTAATAAGGATGGAAATGAAACATGCTGAGAAAAACTTTCTCCTTTGTAAAGAAGCTAGCACCAAAGGCAAGACTATTCATATTTCTGATTCTTGGTTGCAGAAGTTGCCTTTGGTAATGATAATGATGGCTCCTCAGACACATGTAGTATTCAAGTGAGACAGAGATAAAAGAGTATGTCCTGTGTCAAACAGCAACATGGTGACAGCACCTAAGCTCTGCATACTGTTTACCCTGTTCCCTCTAAGCAGTGGTTCTCAACCTTCCTAATGCTGCGACCCTTTAATACAGTTCCTCATGTTGTGGTGACCCCCAATTTCATTGTTACAAATTGAACATAATTAAAGCATAGTGATTAATCACAAAAACAATATGTAATTATATATGTGTTTTCCGATGGTCTTGGGCGAACCCTGTGAAAGGGTCGTTCAACCCCCAAAGGGGTTGTGACCTATAGGTTGAGAACCGCTGCTAAAGTCTTTACTCACCTCCAGGTGGCAGTAAATCTAGCCCAGATTTCTCCAGATGTTTCCTCATTTGTGAAATTGGGATGATGAGCATGTCCTCTTTGGGCATTGTGAGAATGAAAATGCGTCTTCCCATGTGTGTGTAACTGAGGCTGGTATCATTATTGTACATTTGAAGATTACCTAACAATTTAGAAAACCCCAGACACAAGGGTCTCAGATGTTTTTCTTTTTTAGTGGATGAGTACTTGCTGAATTCATCAAGCAAGTTCCTTAACATTTAACTTCCTTTATTATCATGGAGGATTTTAAAGGTATGGGGCTTGTCACTACTGTTGCTTTGGTTATCCCTAAAGTTGTATGTTTGTGTGTGTGAGATTCAGTTGTCACCTCTGATCCCCAGCTGAAGGGAGGGCTAAGGACTGTGGGGCCCTAATCTTCCATGCAGCCACACTCTCAAAGCTGTTGACCCAGCTTCTCACCTGGGCTTCCTTCCTGTGAGTCGTAGATAGAAGTCGTAGATGATGGCAGGGGCCCAGTGGTTGACGGCATTCCAGTACTGGGTTATGATGGTGTTGGTTGTAAGGTCAGCATATGGCCTCCTAAAAGCTCTCTCAAATGGAATTTTTTCAAAGGTTGCCAAGACTTGGAATCCTGGGTGGGGTGGCGGAGAGCAGGGGATGAAATAAGGAGTAAGTCTGGAGCACATAAACCCATTGTGGTGGATGGCATTTGCAATGGGTCAAAACAATAAAGAATAAGTATTTGCTTTGTAGAGTCAAGACTCAATTTCTGAGAACATTACTAAGATTTTTATCCTGGCAAGTAATCACCTGCAAATTTTAAGCAGTGAATAGGTTTGGGTCCTTTTCTTGAAATCTTTACTCTAAAACAACTTCTACAAGAAATAGTTTTAATCAATATAGTGAATGTTATTCAGAAAAACTTAAATCCATCATTCAATTTCAGGGTTATTTAGCCTGTTCTAAAAGTCCCAAGACAGAATCTAAGGGCCATATTTCCTTGTTTGGATCACTACTTTAGGAACCACCAGGAAAGTTTCGTAACATTTTACTTAAACCTTATAAAGGGCTACTTAAACCTTAAACCTCAGGGCTTCAGGGAAAGAGAGATGGTAAAGGCAGGACTCCTCTGGGCTGGTTCACTTTAAAGACCACAGTCTTTTACTTCTTTGGGTTTTCTACTTCTCTGGGAATACATCAGACTCAATTATCTACTCTTATCTCCAGAGGTTTTTTTCATAATATTTTTTTCTTTATGTATTTTTACTTAGAAAAAGCCACGTTAAAATTTTTAATGTACATTTGCAAAGTCAGTAATAATTTTCAATATTCATTTGTATTCCATTTTCATTTTCTCTATGTAGAATTTTCAAAGAATATGCATAAATGCATTATTCAGTTATGATGAAGACAGCAGTTATTATGGTAATAAGATTATTGCTTTAAAAGATACTTGGAAATCTACATGAAAAAATATATACCCTATACAGAAAACATTCTCAAGAAACATCTGGACTGTTTTCCTCCCAGAGGAATTCATATTTACTTTTAAGAATCACTAGTGGAGTGGTTACTACACATTCAAGGGAGGCAAGAGACCTGTCTTCAATCTCAGGCACCAGCTCCCCATATGAATTTGAATAAATCATTTAGTCTCGGTCCCATATGTAAAATAAAGCAAACCCCCCCAGATTATTTTTAAGATCACTTTCAACTATGAGATTCTATAATTCCATAAAACAGATATTAAGAATTATTGGCATGGAAGAAGACTATTTTGAATCTCAGCAATAGAATTTACATGTAACATCTTTTTATTTAAGAGCTTAAAATATCTTGTTTGTGGCTACTAATGCCTTTTTTTATGAATGATATTTTAATTCTGTTATTGTGGTAGAGGAGATATATTTTTTATATTTTTATTTCCATATGTTTTCAGAATTATTTAGATAATCTAAATAACTGGATATATGCTCTAAAGAACTTTACTGCTAGAGAATTTCACTTAATTTTCATTGAAGTGATAACTTTACAGATAGCACAGTAAGTGTTCTGAATTAGAAATCAGATTCTAAAATATTAAGTACATTTGATTTTTTTTCTACATCTAGTACTTAAAAATAGCTAGGTGATCTAAAGTTTCAGATTTTGACAAGAAAATCAACTCCTAAATTGACAAAGGAGTTCAAGATTGGTTAGCTAATGTTCTGTTCTATGCAGGATTCATCAATTCAACCAGACACCTTCAAGGTTCCTCTTTTTTAAAGGAAATATTTTTATTGATTTTGAGAGAGAGAGGAAGGGAGAGGGAAAGAGAGAAAAACAATGTGAGGGCAAAATATCAATCGGCTACCTTCTGCAACTCGGTCATGCCCCCTTGCCTGGGAATCAAACCAGCAACCTTTTGGTGCACAGGAGTGCACCCAACCAACTGAGCCACACCAGCCAGGGCTCAAGTTGACTCTTATGGCTAACTGCATAATTAGTGAAGAGTATCCCTGACTCAATAACAGTTTATATTGTTGGACTTTTCTAAATCTACTTTGTCGTTTCACATTGTCAGGGATGTAGCAATGTAGCGAACAGTGGCCGCAGCAGGAACAGTGGCCCCCACAGGAGCAGTGTTTGATCACTGACATTGCTTATTGCTGACTTCTACTTGGTTTTACTTATTTTTAAAAATCTCTATAACTAACGGACTGCTTATTTCTTATAGTCATGCAGATGTTCCCACTGACCCTTCTTTGGTATATTATGCTTAACTCTTACACATACACAGTTGTAATTATTTTAGCTCTTATTTTTTTTGTGTGTGTGTTTTTCCCCATTAGATTCTAAGCTTCGTGACTCAATTGGTCTAATTTTTCCCCTGTGGCAGACATAGTGATGTAGTTACATTGCTATGGGCACTTACCCATTTTGCCCCAGTAACAGGGATTCAAGTTACCAGAAGTACAGTGGTAGATTAACGTTGACTTAGGTCTGGAAAATAGAAGAAAATTTAGGTAAATAAAATGGAGAAATCATCAAAGAAAGATAAGGGAAAATAATATTTTTAAAAGGATGTTTCAGTAATTCTCATGAGTAAGGTAACCTAGGCAATCTTCCTTCTTTTGGTTAAGCAAAATGGAAGAAGTGGAGGAAAAGTGTGTGTGTGTGTGTGTAAGAGATTGGAAATAGGTTGACATATTTGTGGAGCAAATTGAGGTGTCATGATGAGGAGTTAGAAGAGACTAGGCAGTTAAAGGCAGAAACCCTGAAGTTTAAAATGTATGGATATTGCTAGAGCAGAATTTTTCAGACCAACCAATGGGAAGTTAGCAGGGCACATATTAACCCCTAGACAAAGAAGCTTTGGTGGTAACCCATTTGGGGACCCCTCTCTGCTGCAGGGAGCTCTATTACTTTACTATCTCTAATAAACTTTGCTTTTGCTCATCTCTTTGTCCATGAACTCATTCTTCGGTTTTGCAAGACAACGAACTTAGACCCCAACAGAAATTTTGGCATCAATGATGATGAGAATGATCATATTTCTAAATTATGGACATGTTTATTGGGCAAGACTACAGGCTAGGTTTTTTCCTAAATCCAACTAAGTCCTGCTGGTTTGGAAAGTCTGACTCAAAAAAACATTTAATTCTGTTTATCATTTACTAACAGAGCCAAATATACAAACAACCATTTCTTTTTCTTTGTTTCAGTAAATAACCCATACATGGTGGTCTGAACTTTAGCATTTATCAGGAACTGAGCAGGTCAGTGAAACATAAACTATGGTCTCATTTTACCCCCTTTTTTCTCCTTTGTCTTTAAAACAGGAAGCTCTATTTTAGGTTACTATCAGTGGTGATGCCACCGATTTTGCCATTAAGAACAGTGCTAAATTTATTTTATTTATTTTTTATTTTTTACACATGTCAGAAAAGCTTTTTTGTTATCAAGAATTATATGATTTGCCTAACCGGTGTGGTTCAGTGGCTGAGCTTTGACCCATGAACCAAGAGGTCACTGGTTCGATTCCAATTCAATTCCCAGTCAGGGCACATGCCGGGGTTGCAGGCTCGATCCCTAGTAGGGGCCTTGCAGGAGGCGGCCGATCAATGCTTCTCTCTCATCCATGTTTCTATCTCTCTATCCCTCTCCCTTCCACTCTCTCTACAAAGTCAATAAAAACATATTTTTTAAAAAGAATTATATGGTTTAATAATTTAAAGGGTGTTACTTTATGATCAATGAAATATTAAATAGTACTTATAAAACAACTCAATGCATATATTTGGAACTATGTAAAATATTGAAACATATACCCTGTCACAATTAGGGTCTTCTACAGTACAATGAATATATTTTGAAAATAGGCCTAATATATTCACCCTCCTTATCATTAAATATTTGAAAGAAAGCCAGATTAGTTAGCATCCTCACCTGTGAACTGCTGTGTACCATCCCACAGCCAAGGTGAGATTGACGACTGTATCAACAGGAATCACATCTGCCACAGCCATTGGAGTAGCTCTGAGGGCCCGGAGAAACCCTTTCCCTGTCTGCACGGGAAGAACATAAAATATTGAGCCAGGTCTCAAGTAACAGCTGGAGATAATACTGATGCTGTTAGTAATAACAGCTACCATTGACCCACTGCTTACGAGGCTACTATACCAAGGCTGATGTCACAGCCTGTCCAGCCTTCCAGCTACATTCATCTCAAATGCCAACACTTTTATGAAACACTAGTGAGTGGTCCTTGGCTCCTTTAGGGAGTGAAAGTCCTCAAATTTGTGAGAGGTAATATATTTAGTTAATTAACAAACACCAAGAATAGTTTATCACATCTTAAAAATTAATTCATAAGCATTAAGTTTTCCCCAATTTCCCACTTAATTTACCATTTCCTAATGATGCTTTCTGCTAGTGCTTACTAATTTACAAGCAAGAGCAGACACTAAAAGTTTAAGAAATATTTATTTTTAAAAATTAATAAAAATCTACCATTTAACAACTTTGTTATTACTTGGGAAACTTTTCCTTTGGTATCTTAGTTCACCTCACAGATCACTGATGTTATATAGATGTAAGAATTGGGAATTATTCATGTTAATAAGTCAGTTAATAACTAAAAAGTTGTGTTTATTTTATGAATTAATTATTTATACCCTACATATTTCCAACATCGATTTTCAGTGGTTGTTAGCACTTTCTTATGTTCCTAATTTGTTGCAACTGATTCCCCTTCCTTTGGACATAAGAAATCAGTTTGGAAAATTTTAGATAACTGAGTAAATGTGCAGTTTTGTAAACAATGTAATAAGACACACTCTAGGGTCATGTGAAAATAATTAATTATATTCTAAGTTACCAAATGTCCACCCATAACTAAGCCTTAAAGAAGAGGAAGGCAGGTAGAGAACAAAAAGAGAGGAGCTGCTAGAGCAAAAAAGAAATCAGAAGGTTCATTCTCACTGTCTTTGACAAGTGGTCATAATTCACTGTCTTATATTTGAATTTTAGTTCCTGTTGGACCTCACTCTGAGAACACAGGCAGTGTCTGAGGTATGAGGTTTGTAAACTCAGAGAATTGAATTGCGGTTCATTGTCCTAAAGAGTGGAGTTGTGGTTCTGGTCCTAAAATGCTTCAATATGAACTGTGACCCCACCCCGCCCTCCCGCCCAGCTCAGGCTGAACCAGTCTTCACGGCAGGGGACATACACAGGGCTGTTGGCCCAGAGAAACCAGTAACGTTTCTCCTGGTCTGTGAGAGGTTTGCTGAAAAGTGTTTCCTCTATCCGTCCATTTTTAATTTGAAATCTTTGCCCGAGTTGGTGGTTCTTTCTTGTATCTATTAAGAACTGGTTACTGATGTATTTTATGCATTTATATAATTTATATCCACACATAGAGAAACTCTTGTATGTGTTTTATAATCAAGAATTTAATAATCTTTGTGAATATGATTTTTATTGCATTCCCAGTTCGCTGCATTAATTCAGCGAAAAGGAGGAAACACCCCCATCTTGTGGTAATGAGAGAGAACTACAGGCACGGTCCTCAATGCTCAGTCCTCAATGCTCAAAGGCTTTACAAAAAGAAAACTCCTAAATCAGTGGTTCCCAAACTTATTTGGCCTACCGCCCCCTTTCCACAGCGCCCCCTGGAAATTAATTTTTTTTAAATTTTAATAGCAATTAAACAAAGATATATGTATTAATGTTTCTACCTTTTTCGTAAAATATAGTAAAGAAAGGTGTAAATTAGAAACATTGAAGTTTGAAATTATGAAACTATTTATTGAACTCAGAATAGAAAGGTAATACAACAAAAGTTAAAACAAATGCACCTGTGGCCATCACCACCCCCTTGGATCGCTGCAGCGCCCACCAGGGGGCGGTAGCGCCCACTTTGGGAATCACTGTCCTAAATGGTCGTTGATATCACAGTACATCTGTTTTTCTGATAATAAAATTCACAAGTAAAAATAATTTTATTCTGCCTCTATTTTCCAATCACCATAACTGAGATAAGGTACTTCAATTGTAGTTAGTAAAGTAACATTTATGGTTTTGGATCAATGAAGATAAACCAACACTAAGCATGTTGTTAGTTACTATCCCTCCACCACATTTCAAGGACTTATTTCCACGTTAGTATACATACCGCAATAATGAGCCCACTAGGTCCATTTACGTTATCAACCCAACCCTAAAATAAAGAAGAAGATCTCTATTGATTACACATGTCAGAAAAGTGTAATACCTTTGGAACATTTGCAATCTAATCTTGATACATTTCAAACAGGAGCACTGAGACCCCAGCTAATATAATTGTCTAATCCAGTAGGTCTCACATCACACACAAAGGTCAATGGCAAAGCACTGTATATTTCTGCACTTTATTTGTGCAAGAATTAAAATTCTGCGAGGAGGAGCCATGGGTAGTTTCAAGCTGTTATAATGACATTCTGGGGGCTAAATTGGACCTGCTAACCAATTCATCAGTCATCATTTTCCTCCAGCTCGGGCCTGATTTTTATCTCCCTGGGGGAACACTTCAAACATGATTTCTAGGAATTATCCATTTCTGGAGAATTTTAAGAATCATACCATCCACGCTCTCTCTGTATTGTATTAGCTTGCTTAGAGATGTTAGAGGAGAGATTATGCTTAGGAGCCGTAGGAGGAAAATGTCTTTTTGAGTTTGTTTCCTCAGCCCTAAGCAAGTCAGTGGACTGTATTATGTCTGTTTCTTCATCTGTAAAAGTCGAATGCACGTGGGAGAGGAGAGAGGAGAAGATACAGGGATTATTCGCCGAGCCTTTACTCGGGACCAGGCACTGCGGAGCACTCCCGCACACTGTCTCATAGTCTCTGCACAGTGGGGAGCAACAGCCCAGTTTTACAAGTGAGACAGCTCAGAAGTCAGCATTGTCAGTAAGTAGTAGAGCTCAATTTTATCTGCCCTAAAACTTCACAGAAGGACAGAGCAGTACCCAGACGTCAACAGTGACTATTCCCAAGCTGAGAAGCTTTTGTGAGCTTTGTGATTCTGATTTATCCTGGCAGTGGTGATGCCACCGATTTTGCCATTAAGAACAGTCTGCTAAATTTATTTTATTTATTTTTTATTTTTTAAATGTTTATTGTTTTTTAGGGAGAGAGGAAGGGAGAGGGAGAGAGAGATAGAAACATCAATGATGAAAGAGAATTATTGATAGGCTGCCTCCTGCACACCCCACCCTGGGGATCGAGTCCGCAACCTGGGCATGTGACCTTGACCAGAATCGAACCCGGGGCCCTTCAGTCCACAGGCTGACGCTCTATCCACTGAGCCAAAATGGCTAGGGCCAGTCTGCTATATTTAAACTATAGTGGAAAAAGGCAAGAAATGAAATTACCTCCTGTGGAAATTTTAAGACTAGAGTTAATGAAAAGCTAATTTAAGATCTCCAGCCAACTCCAGATCAGTAAGTCCCAGAGGAGTTTCAGGCTAAATAATTCCTGAACCAAATGTGGAATTTTGCCCTAATATAGCGGGTTCAGCTATACATCTTGGGGGGTGGGGGGAGAGGGAGAGAGAGGAGAGAGAGAGAGAAAGAGAAAGAGAGAGGAGAGAGATATCAGAAAGTGACTGGGCTAGAAGGATGCTGGCCTGGAGGCAGAGCAAGGAGTCCTGTGAAGGGGTGAAGGGACTTACTGGGAAAGGCTCCTGCCAGGTTGCTCCCACGATGGAGGGCCTCACGATGGCAATGTTTAGGTTGCCGCCCTCCTGGTGCACCACCATCTCTCCCAAGGCCTTGGTGTAGGTGTACGTATTGGGCTGATCCCCAATCAGCTTGGGCGTGATCTCGTCAATAATAGCATCATCTAACCACCTAAAGTTAGTCCGAGGAAAAAAGAATTCCAGCAACAATTGTTACACAATAGACCCAAAAACACTGTGAGCCACAGACAATCAAATAAAACACCCATGTTCTAGCTTGAGTTCTGGAATTGAGAACAGTCACTGGAAAGTGAGGCTGAGTGGGAACCTGTCCAAATCATGTACAATGGCTGAGCCCAATCTCACCAGGTGAATCCTACCTCCTCCCACCTAGATGGACATGTTTAACAGCTATGCAATCTACTACATTATTGCAAACTAGAGGTCCGGTGCATGTGGGTGTGTATGTGGGGGGTCCCTTAGCCCGGCCTGCACCCTCTCCCAATCCAGGACCGCTGGCTCTTAACTGCTGGCCTGCCTGCCTGACCGCCCCTAACTGCTCCTCTGCCTGCCTAATCACCCCGAACTGCCTCTGCCTGCCTGCCTGATCACCCTTAACCACCTCTGCCTGCCTGACCGCCCCTAACTGCTCCTCTGCCTGCCTAATCACCCCGAACTGCCTCTGCCTGCCTGTCACCCCTAACTGCCTCTGCCTTGGCCCCCACCACAGCGGCTTAGTCTGGAAGGACGTCCAGAATGATGTCTGGAAGGTCGCCTAATCACCCCTAACTGCCTCTGCCTTGGCCCCCACCACAGCGGCTTAGTCTGGAAGGACGTCCAGAATGATGTCTGGAAGGTCGTTTGGCTGTTTGGTCTAATTAGCATATTACACTTTTATTAGTATAGAAGATAATCTCTATCTTCAATGACTTTCTCTCCAACAGGGTCAGAGGTATATGTTCATGGAACACGTTTGTGAATGCCAATCATGAGCCCAGGAGCATGCTGGGTGCATTCATGGCTTTTAAAGGCTCTCTCGTCTAAGGTGCTTCTGTGGCCACCCCACTCAGTCATTGCCATCCAGTTAAAACCCAATGCACCAACCAATCTTGCAAATTTTAGCTTTTAATTTTTAAAATTCCATTCAATGCCTCAACAAATGAAAGCAACTACCAGTACTTTCAGCAGACTTATAATCTATTTTAGCAAATCTATGAAAATATTTTGAAGGTCTGTTTAGAGCAGTGGTTCTCAACCTTGGCTGCACATTAGAATCACCTGGGAGTCTTTTTAAAATCCTGATTTCTGGGTCTCATCCTCCGGAAATTCTGTTTCTTTGTTACTAATGTTGTGGCCCCACCCCATAACAAGGTTGAGAACCACTGGTTGAGAGTCTATGTTAATAACTTGGTAATTATTTCCAGAGATTTCCAATGAATTCTGAAAGGCCTTAATAACTACTAATAGTCTACCATGTGGAGTAGTTACAGTACTCTGAAGCAGTGGTAATAGTGATTATGGAACACTTCTACTTACAACAAGACATGCATCATAAACAACTGAGTTACCATGGCATCATCCCAATCCTTTCTTTAAAGGTGTCAGCACCATTTTTGATAATCTTAAAGTCTACTGCAGTTCTTGAAAGAGCAATACAATTATTGTCAATTAAATACTTAATGTTTCTCTTTGCTGGCAGACCTATTTGCTCAAACTTTTGGTATAATATAGTTTTTAAAAATTAGATTTCTTAACTGTGTTAGTGTGATTTGATACATTTATTCCTGTGTTATAAAACTGAGCTCAGTTATACTATTTTGATTGTAGAAAAATCTTAGCTGTTACCACTTTGTTTCCATTGCATACTGGTGAGCAGTTAAGATGTATTTATGCCAGGACTTGTTCAGAAACTCCACTCTCCATTTAACACCTCTCCCTTGATGTTGGAGTGGAACATGAGCATTGTCCATGATGTTTGGTTTTTCTCTTTGCTGCTATTTATTAGTGCTGAATGCTTTCTAGATACTCACATGCCTTTTGTTTAAATCGAATAGGGAAAGTTTGACAAGTTCCTAGAATTAAAAAGCTGTGGTACACTTACTAGTACACTATGGAATATTATGCAGCTATAAAAAAAAAACTATATCTTACCCTTTGAGACAGCATGGAGGGACCTGGAGAGTATTACACTAAATGAAATAAGCCAGTCAGAGAAAGACAAGTATCACATGATCTTATTTATATGTGGAATCTAATGAATAAAATAAACTGATGAACAAAATTCACATGATCTTATTCATATGTGGAATCTAATGAACAAAATAAACTGATGAACAAAATAGATCCAGAGACATTGAAGCATGGAACAGACTGATGAAACTCAGAGGGAAGGGGGGTGGAGGTGGGCAGGAAGAGATTAACTAAAGAACTTACATGCATATATGCATAACTCATGGACAGATGATAGAGCAGTGAAAGCATGGGGAGGGTAAGTTGGAGGGGGCCAATGGGGGGAAAAAGGCTGTGAAGGAAAACCATTCTAAGAAAACTGCAGACCCAACCACACACTAGGAGTGTATGTCACGCGCTGGCACCAGCTGCTGTCCTGACGTTGGTCTGCACCGAAAGGGCACGCTTAGAGGCTTTATCAAGTTGGGTGAGCTAGCTTCTTAGAAAATGTTGGTTTCATAGGTTTCTAAGAACACAAACGCAAGAGAAGGTGTAGTGTTCTGTAGGTGGCCTCCCTCTACCATTCGTAGCTCCACCTGTATTATGTCATATTATCTTCTCATTTCTCCCATTTTTACTTGTAAAAATGGCAATGATTACATCTGTTCTAAATGTTTAGGTTATGATGAGGACCAACAGAAATAGTCACAACTGCACTTAAAGCTTTTTGATAAAACAAAATGAGCCCAGCAACCTAAGGCATTCTTAATTTTGGTGAAACAACCAAGGAGCATAAATCTACAGAGGCAGTCGCTGGTTTCAAATTAATCTTTTCTAACGCAGCCAAACAGGCCATTGTTTCACCCAGCCACTTCCCAAGTTCACAGAGAGGAGTGGAACAAGTATGTACATCCCTGATGGGTGTACAATCAGTTCATGCTCTTCTTTACCCAACTTTGATTTGCTGCTGTGGTTTGTTCTCCATTCGTTTTCAAAACAGCATATAAGTTAGCATGGAAACCAAAAAGTATTTCTGAAATTAACCCAATGTCCTTTGGCACACTCAAGAAGGCATTTTGAACCCACTGGTCCCAAATTCTCAATTACTTAAATTGATTAGAAAGAAGCAAAAAGTTATTAAAGATTTCAGAAAGCAACGTGTGTGTGTGTGTATACATGCCCACAATTTCCTCTAAATATTACTTACCTTTCTGGTTTAAAACTTATTGAATCAACCTCTTAATATCATTCATCTATACTAGTAAAAGCCTAGGTGATCCTTGCACCCTCTCACAATGCCCTCATGTCATCACAAGATGGCCAGCAGGGGAGGGCAGTTGTAGGCGACCAGACTGTCAGGGGAAGGTAGTTGGGGACAACCAGGCCTGCAGGGGAGGGCAGTTGGGGGTGACCAGGCCTGCAGGGAAGGACAGTTGGGGGCACAGGCCAGCAAGATAGGACAGTTGGGGGCGACCAGGCCGGCAGGGGAGGGTAGTTGGGGGCAACCAGGCCTGCAGGGGAGGGCAGTTAGGGGTGACCAGGCCAGCAAGGGAGGGCAGCTGTGGGGGACCAGGCCTGCAGGGGAGGGCAGCTGGGGGTGACCAGGCCTGCAGGGGAGGGCAGTTAGGGGTGACCAGGCCAGCAAGGGAGGGCAGCTGTGGGGGACCAGGCCTGCAGGGGAGGGCAGTTGGAGGAGACCAGGCCGGCAGGGGAGGGAAGTTGGGGGCAAGATCAGGCGGATAGGGGAGGGCAGCTGGGGGTGACAAGGCCTGCAGGGAAGGGCAGTTGGGGGGGACCAGGCCGGCAGGGGAGGATAGTTGGGAGCAACCAGGCCTGCAGGGGAGGGCAGTTAGGGGTGACCAGGCCAGCAGGGGAGGGCAGCTGGGGGCGACCAGGCCGGTAGGGGAGGACAGCTGGGGGTAACCAGGTTGGCAGGAGAGGGCAGCTGGGGAAAACCAGGCCTGCAGGGGAGGACAGCTGGGGGCGACCAGGCCTGCCAGGGAGGGCAGCTGGGGGTGACTATGCCTGTAGGGGAGGGCAGTTGGGGAGGACCAGGCCTACAGGGGAGGACAGTTGGGTGCAACCAGGTCTCAGGGGAGGGCAGTTGGGGGTGATCAGGCCGGCAGGAGAGCAGTTAGGCATCAATCAGGCCGGCAGGGGAGCGGTTAGGGGGCGATCAGGCTGACAGGCAGGTGAGCAGTTAGGAGCCAGCAGTCCCGGATTGTGAGAGGGATGTCCCAGATTAGAGAGGGTGCAGGCTGGGCTGAGGGATACCCCTTCCCCTCCTTGCACGAATTTTATGCACCAGACCTCTAGTAACTTCATAATTTATGTATTTAGTGAATGAGGCAGCAAGAAGAATATATACTTTTTCTCCAAATTTTCTTTTTTTTTTTTTTTTTTTTTTTTTTTTTTTTTTTTTAAATATGAACAGTATTCTCTTTATTTAAAGGCTTCATACACAAATTCTGAGCTCTATAAATGGCAATTCTTCATGTTTGAAAGAACTTTCTTCAGAAAAACATCTAGTCAGTTAGCCAGAATTGTAACATTATCAGTAATCTTATCATTTCATAGCTTTATACCTCTAATCTCCGTGTTTGAACAA